TTCTGTATCTACCATTGTTCCCCTTGCCCCAAGCAGTTCTCATTCTAATACAGTAATGTTGTACGTGACTAGAAAGAGGCTAATTTTTAATGAAATTTCTAGATCTGTAACAATGTTGTCTTTCAAAGATGCCATCTCAAATAGCCAGGCAGTTAATCCAATGACTACTCAAAATGAATTTGTAATTTCTCTCTGGGGAGTTGCTTTCAGAGGCAGTTTGAACCACACTAGGAAATCTCAGCCAGGCGCAGTGCCTCACGCCTGTCATTCCAACACTTGGGAGGCTGAAGTGGGAGGATTGCTTGAATCCAGGAGTTTGAGACCAGCCTGGGCAACATAGTGAGACTGCATCTCTACAAAAAATAAAAATACACCTGAAATCCCAGCACTATGGGGGGCTGAGGCGGGTGGATCACGAGATCAGGAGTTGGAGACCAGCCTTTCTCACATGTCTACGTCTCTACCAAAACAAAAAAACAAAAAATTAGCTGGATGTGGTGGCACCTGCCTGTAGTCCCAGCTACTCGGGAGGCCAAGACCAGAGACTCACTTGAACTCAGGAGGTGGAGGTTGCATTGAGCCGAGATCACCCCACTGTACTCCAGCCTGGGGAAAAGAGCAAGACTCAGTCTCAAAAAATAAAAACAAATAAAAAACAAAATAAGATAAATTAGCTGGGATGGGCTAGGTGCTGTGCACCTATGGTCCTATCTACTTGGGAGGCTGAGCTGGGAGGATCACCTGAGCCCAGGATTTTGAGGCTACCCTGAACTGTGATCACACCATTGCACTCAAGCTTGGGCAACAGAGTGAGACTCTGTCTCTTGATAAAGAAATAAAAAAATCTGTCATGATTTATACTCACACCTCATCTTTGATTAAGAACCATATAAACAGCCCAGTCTTTGTCCTACTCACCTGGCATGCCTCCAAATGAATGATGACCATTTCCAAAAGTAAAATGCATTCTCCAATGGTGAAGATTTGCCATCATTAAAGAGATTCAAAAGAAAACAATGCAAACTCCGAAAGCTGTTTGCAGATGGAGGCTTTAGTTTCAAAGCCATGTGGTATCTAGCTGTCCAAGGTGACCTGTAGGACAGCACTTCCTCAGCTGGGCAAGCCTTGCTGTGCTGGTGTAGCACTTGCCACCTCTGTCCTATGCATGTCACACACCTGGCTGCCGCCTGCTCTTTGACATGTTTTCCCCTTCGGCCTCAACAGTGACGGTCCCAGCAGGCACATCACAGGCATGTAGGAAGTGTGTTTAAGATTCCCAGTTGAGACCAGGCATGGTGGCTCATACCTGTAATCCCATCACTTTGGGAGGCTGAGGCAGGTGAATTACCTGACATCAGGAGTTTGAGACCAGCCTGGGCAATATGGGAAAACCCTGTTTTTACTAGAAATACAAAAATTAGCCAGATATGGTGGCACATGCCTGTAGTCCCAGCTACTCGGGAGGCTTAGGTAGGAGAATTGCTTCAACATGGGAGGTGGAGGTTGCCATGAGCTGAGATCATGCCACTGCACTCCAGCCTGGGCAACAGAGTGAGACTTCGTCTCAAAAAACAAAAAAGAAGATTCCCAGTTGAGAGCTGGGTGCAGTGACTGGAGTTTGTGATTCCAGCTACTCAGGAGGCTGTGATGGGAGGATTCCTTGAGACCAGAAGTTTGGGCAACATAGTGAGACCCCCATCTCTACAAAAAACTTTAAAAATGAGCCAGACATGGTGGTGTGCCCCTGTAGTCCCAATTTCTCAGGAGGTTGAGGTGGGAGGATCACTTGAACCTGGGAGTTCAAGGCTACAGTGAGTTATGATCACACCACTGCACCGCAGCCTAGGTGACACGAGACCCTGTCTCTAAAAAGAAAATTTAGAAAAACATTCTCAGTTGAATTACTATGGAGTTGGTTGCTTCAAATCTGAGAAATATTTCTGGGTAGGTTATTAAATGCTATAAGGCATGGTAGGCATGGTAAAGGAAAGACAACCCCTACCTTCATAGAGCTGACAGTTCTCTTGGGATACTGGATGAACAGATGTGAAGCAATTAGAGAATGGCGATTTGCTAAGCTTGTAGGGTACGATAGAAATTCTGAGGGAAAAAATCCACCTGAACTGGGGTAGTTAGAACATGCTTCCTGGAAGGAGTGGACGTGGAAGGACACTGGAGGATTTGAGTGGAGGCAGAAAAGAGCATGGTAGGCCCAGCGAGTTAGAGTGCAAGTGAGTCATTGGGATATGCCAGGAATGCTTCATATGTGATCTTTTAAGGGAGTGTTGAGGAACTTAGGTTATGTGATTGGACATGTGAGATGGGCTAGGTAAGCAATAAGAGTTTTTGTAGGTTTTTAAACAAGGAAGTGGGTAATATGGTAAAAGTAGTATTTTAATTAAGATTGGCTGCAGTGTGCAAGTTGAATGTATGGATAAGAGGCTACTGCAGGCATCTAATTGTGGGCCAGAGAGGGCCTGAACCAGAATGGTGACTGTGGGCCAAAAAAGGAAGATGCCTTTGAGAAGTACCTCAAAGGACGAATCATGAAGCCCTCTAACACCCTGAAGGTGGGTGATAGGGACAGGAAAGGAGCCAGTGCTGACGACGAGGTTCCTGCCTCACCTCCAAGGGTGGTAGTGTTGCTGGGAAAAATGAGGTGTGGGGAAAGGGAGCTAGTTTAGGGGAATGAAGATGAGCCCAGCACAAACATTCTGACCTGGAAGTAAACGGACCACATGTGTGAAGACGCTCTAGGAGCTTCTGGAAATGGGAGCTTAGGAGGCCATGTGAGGGGACCTTGGAGTGGTCCTCTCAGACACTTCTGGTAATGCCTTGGAAGGTGTGGACCCAAGGCCATGGGTGTGTTTGGGCAGACAGGCCTCCAAAAGGAGGTTGATGTTAGCCCTGTCCTGCTGGGCCCCCACATGAGGCTTTAAAATGTCTTTCTGGTAGGAGGAAGGTTTACTGACCAGAACAACACTGGGAGAAGTCAGCCAGCACATGAGCTGTGTCTTAGAAGTATGTCAGTAATCCTCTGTTTTTTACCTATCAATTTTTGGATCTAATTCCATGACCCCTTTGTCCTTGACCCTCCAAGGACAGCAGGTCAAGACAAAAGTCTTCAAGATCACGAACTCCCTCCCCACACTTAGGAAAGAGGCCTAGGCCGGGTGCTGTAGCTCACACTAATTTTCACGCTCCGAGAGGCTGAGGCAAGAGGGTTGCTTGAGCTTAGCTCGAGACCAGCCTGGGCAACATAGGAAGACCCCTACTCTACAGAAAATGTTTTAAAATTCCATGAGTGTGGTGGTGTGCACCTGTATTCCCAGCTACTCAGGAGGCTGAGTGGGAGGATGGCTTGAGCCTGGGAGGTTAACACTGCAATAAGCCATGATTGTACCACTGCACTCTAGTCTAGGCAACAGAGTGAGACCCTATCTTTTTTTTTTTTGAGATGGAGTCTTGCTCTGTTGCCCAGGCTGAAGTGCAGTGGCATGAACTCGGCTCACTGCAGTCTCCACCCAATTCTCCTGCCCCAGCCTCCCAATTAGCTAGGACTTCAGGCACATGCCACCACTCACGGCTAATTTTTTATAGTTGTAGTAGAGATGGAGTTTCACTGTGTTAGCCAGGATGGTCTCGATCTTCTGACCTCATTATCCTGTCTTGGCCTCCCAAAGTGCTGGGATTACAGGTGTCAGCCACCGTGCCCAGCCCAAGACCTTATATTTAAAAAAAAAAAAAAAAAAAAAAAGAAGAGGAGGAGGAGGCCTGGTGTTGCCATAGCAGTACCACGTATCCATGCTCATAGTGCTTCCTTTTCATCCTCTGGCTTGAACCATCCTGTAAAAGAGTTGGTGAGGCTGCCATTGAGAGTGGAGAAGACTGCTGTGCCTTTAGGGAAAGAAGGCGGATGGAGCAGAAACAAAACCTCTTCTCTGCTCAAGCCGGCCTAAGTTCCACCAGGCAGCTCCATGAGACCTCAGTGAGACGGGGCAGTGGGAGGGGACAAGACAGGAGCAGCAGCCTGTGTACAGTAAAAGGAGTTTGCCATCAAAAGGCAACAAGTCTTATACCCTGCCCCGGACGGTGACCCTTCCCTGTGGAATTCTCCCCTCTGACCTCCAGATCATTAATCCTGAGGCTGCCAAATGACAGTCATCCATCACGCCTCCTGACGAGCATCCCAGCCGGCTGTGAAAGGACGGGCCCCGCCCTCACCACATCCCCTGGTGCTCATTAGTAGCCCTTCCTGCTCGGTGCCAGGTTTCCTAATCAAGTCCCTGGCTCCTCTCACTTCCCCTCGGGGCCATTGGGCGGAAGCTGCTCTGACTCTCCCCATTTCAGAGGCCAGAGAGTAGGTGGAGTGATTGGTGTGGGGAGAGAATTGCTGAGTGGCTTTCATTCCCATGGAGACCTGTGTGTCCAGCAGCTCCTTTGACATGGCGGGGCACATGAGAAAGAAACTGTTTCTCCATTGAGCAGGAGAGGAAAAAGCAGGCATGTGCAAATGAGCACACTCTTATAAGCAGCACTGAGAGCTGCCAGGCGGGGGACTAAGCAGGGCTCCCCTTCTAGGAAGTCAGAGAAAGGCTTCCCAGGGGATGTTGCCACTGAATAGAGTCTGAAAGCTGCAGAGATAAGTCGCCAGATCACTAGGAATAGTCTGGAATTGTACTGCTAGCAAAACAAAAACAAAACCACACACACAAACTAAAAAACAAGTGCCTTTGAAATCATCTAGTCTGGCCCTCCTATTTACAGATGGCAAAACAGAGCCAGAGAGGCTACGTTTTCAAAGGCCACACAGCCTGTGCACTGGACCTGTCCTCACTGCTATCCCGAGTGTTCAGGCTTGCGGAGCTTGAGTTAAATTACACTTCCAAACAGATTCATGAGCAGTGTTTCCAGCTCAACTAAAGGCGGCCAGACATGGAATCTTTTTTTTCAGTCTGATGATAATCCAGCTGTCTCTTTCTCTCATTGGACAACCACAGGGACCCCCATCAACCGAATCCCCATCATGGCCAAGCAAATCCTGGACCTGTACATGCTGTATAAGCTGGTGACCGAAAAGGGGGGCCTGGTGGAGATCATCAACAAGAAGATCTGGAGGGAGATCACCAAAGGCCTGAACCTGCCCACATCCATCACCAGCGCCGCCTTCACCCTCAGGACCCAGTGAGTGGCCGGGCCTGGGGGAAGGAAGCTGAGGCTAGAGAAAGGGGATGTTGTAACCTAGAGGAGAGGAAGGAAGGAAATTCCTTTATATAGTTAGCAAGGATTCCCAAAACAGTGGGGAGCTTTCTGAGATGAATCCTTCACCAAACCAAGTAGAGATGAGAACTGCCATTTACCAAGCATCTACTCACAGTCAACGCCCCCTTTTTCCACATTACAGAAATGAAGTCTCCAGGGTTAAATAATTTGGCCAAGGCCATACCAGCCAGCAAGAGCTGAGATTCGGACCCGGGCTTCTGTCTCTGAGACCCATGCCCCTTCCAGGACATTGTCTTCCAAACAGCATCTCCACCCCAGGTGGCTCCTCTTACCTAACATTCAGCTGGCCCAGCAGCAGAGGACCCAGAGAAAGGCAGGCAGGAAGGCCCCTTTGGATTGGTGACCTGGTTTTGTCAGCATTTGAGTTAATTACATGGGTGGTGGAAGCAGTGAAACCAAGAGCAGCACTGAAGGATGAGGGCCCAAGAGGGGTCTATTCTTCTGCAACACTCTCGAAGTTGTTCTGTGAAGAGTATGCAATGAACAGCTGACATCGGTTAGGTGACATGTTGTAGCTACAACCAGAATGGCAAGGTTCTTGGGGAGAGAACTGCTTCTTGGGACCTAAGACACAAAGAATGACAGTCTAGGTCCCCTGCACAGTGGGAAGAATTGCCCCTGTCTGACCAGCCCCACTCTGAATGGTTAGAAGATCAAGGAGCCAGAAAGCCCTTGTAAAACTTGGCCCTAATTTTTCCCAGTGCACTAAAAAAGCACCAAAATAAATGTGAAAACATCAGCTAAGATGTTATTTATTTCCCCTAGTGAATGGTGCTTCAGAGTGGAGCCTGATTAGGGTTGGGTAGCAGTTAGAGGAGGTTGGGGCAGAGCATCCAGCCATCCCAGACTTTTCTGCCAAGTACACCAGGTTGCCATCCTTTGCCCTAGAGTTCTGCCCAACAGAGACTGCTTCCAGAGACCCACCAATCTCAACTGGGTGGTCTTTGGTGCTGTTTTGGATTATTCTCCCTGCTTGCTTCCTTTCCTCTAGGTACATGAAGTATCTCTATGCCTATGAGTGTGAGAAGAAAGCCTTGAGTTCCCCAGCTGAGCTCCAGGCAGCCATTGATGGCAACCGCAGGGAGGGCCGGCGGCCCAGCTACAGCTCCTCCCTCTTCGGCTACTCACCTGCTGCTGCCACGGCTGCTGCTGCTGCTGGGGCCCCTGCCCTCCTCTCCCCACCCAAGATCCGCTTTCCCATCCTTGGGCTTGGCTCCAGCAGTGGCACCAATACCAGTAGCCCGCGGATATCCCCAGCAACCACTCTCAGGAAAGGTCAGCAGGGCTCCCGGGGGAGAAGAAAGGAAGGGACTCCAGTTGCCCTGTGTTCAGGAGTGGGGTTTTTGGGCCAGAGGGTCCATTGTGGATTGCTCCAGCTCCAGTTCCTTCGCAGGTGATGGCGCCCCAGTGACAACAGTGCCTGTGCCAAATCGCCTGGCTGTGCCCGTGACCTTGGCAAGCCAGCAGGCTGGTCCTCGGACCGCCACACTGGAGCAGCTACGGGAGCGGCTGGAGTCAGGGGAGCCTGCTGAGAAGAAGGCGTCAAGGCTGTCCGAGGAGGAACAGCGCCTAGTGCAGCAGGCCTTCCAGCGCAACTTTTTCAGCATGGCACGGCAGCTCCCCATGAAAATCAGGATCAATGGCAGGGGTGAGCCAGGCTCAGGACAGGTCTTTCCCTTCCTGTTGAGTGCCAAACCACAGCCCATTCATGCCTCCTGGGACTGGTGGGGCAGGGGTGGTGACCCGGAAAAGGCCCCTTCAGGTTCTGCCTTCCAGGCCCCCAGAAGACAGGCACTGAGCTCTCAGTTCACCAGGCTGAGGTTGTTTTCTAGGGGACCATATATTGCCTCAGGCAGTACCCTGTTCTCTAGTAAGAGGGAAAAGCAGAAGAGGAGCCAGAGGCCATCAGAGAGCTGCCACGTTTCCCCACCAGCCTTTACCCCAGCACCTCACTGGATGTAGGCAAGAGCAGGGCACCATCGGCAGATCAGAGAGGAAGATACCCCTCGTTCCTGAGGCTCAGTGAGGGACCAGGTTGTCCAGGGATGGACAGCAGGACTGCCAGTGACCCTCAGGAATATAGGGGGAAGGAGGAAATACAAGTTTGGCAGCATAATTGACATCTCTTCTCTTCCCCTTCACATTGTTCTAGTGCCCCATATTCTGTTCCCCAAGCCACACACCCCTTTTCCCATTCACACACATTCTTTCCCATTCTGGTCCTGATGCTATCTCAAAGCAAACATGAATGAGCTGTGTGGGAAGGAGCCAGGTGTGAAGGGAGCTGTACATATTCCCAGGCCGCCCCTCCCGACCCCATTCCCCTGGAGAGCAGAAGAAAACTGGGAGGTAACAAGCTCATCCAGGGCCAGGTGCCCTGCTCCTGCACAAAGCAAAGGGCTGTTAGAAAAGATGGCTCGCCAGGAAGAATTCTGAGTCTGGGGTGACCCAGGCAGAGGCCCTGTGTGCCTGCACCTGGAGCCTTCCACAAACACCAGCTGCCCAGGTGGTCATGGAGGGGCAGGTGGTAGGGGCGTAGACTCCTCTCCTTGAAGGACTCAGAGTCAAAGGAAAGAAGGGGCAAGGCGGGTCCTCAAGAGTTGGGGCTGGGTCTTGTTGATCTCTGATTTCCTGGGCCTGGTGTGGTGGAGCTTGGGGTTTGCCCATCACATGGAGAGTGCCAGTGCAGAGCTGAGGGACTGGGGTCGGCCTCGTTGCCTGCTGTGATTCCTTTTCTCTGGGAGCAGAGGAAGCTGGGGAGATGAACCGGGTTGGTGGGAAAAGCCAGCAACAGGAGTTTGGCGAGCCAGGGATCTCCTGCCATACCCTATACTCAGGAGGTTACATAGCTGCTTTCTAACAGCGTGAGTCTTTGACCAGGGTGGCCAGGCAGCATCAGAGAGGACAGCAGGAGTGCTGTGCAAGGCTTGACCAGGCCCAATGTCCCCCTGTCCCCAGCAGAAGACAGAGCAGAGGCCTCGGCTGCAGCGCTGAACCTGACCACAAGCAGCATTGGGAGCATTAACATGTCAGTGGACATCGATGGCACCACCTACGCAGGTGAGGCCCTGGAGCTCTGTGGGAGGCCCACGTGGCTGCAGCCAGCCACAGGGCAGCTCCGTGGCTGCCCATGCCTCTCGCCTTCTGTCTGAACACTTCCCAGGGTGGCTTCCTTTTTCGTGGTCTCAGAGTTGCAAAGGTCAAGTGGTCCTCTGGACTGGTAGAGACTGGATTGTTAACAGGATAGGTCCCTCCCACTTTGGCAGAAATCCTTCACCTAATTCCCCCCTCCCCCATTTTTTTTTTTTTTTTTTTTTGATACAGAGTTTTGCTCCTGTCGCTCAGGCTGGAGTGCAATGGTACGATCTCGACTCACTGCAACCTCTGCCTCCTGGGTTCAAGTGATTCTCCTGCCTCAGCCTCCCGGGTAACTGGGATTATAGGCATGCGTGACCATGCCTGGCTAATTTTTGTATTTTTAGTAGAGATGGGGTTTCTCCATGTTGGTCAAGCTGGTCTCGAACTCCCAACCTCAGGTGATTTGCCCGCCTCAGCCTCCCAAGTGCTGGGCTGTGCCTGGCCACCTAACCCTTTTAGACGGGTGATTGGCTCGGTGATTGAAGAAGTCTGTATCCCACTCTCCCCAGGTCTTCTCATACACAGGTCACCTTTCTCTGACTGTAGTTCAGCTAGCTGTTCTCTTCCTTTTACAGAATGCATTTTTATTACCTTTTCTGTCATTCCTTTTCTTTAAAATAGACGGAGGACTGAGTCACAGCCAAAGGAACCCCGGTGTAGCAGAATCCGCTTACACTGTTAAGCTCTCCACCCCCCAGTCTTTTATAGTTATCTCTTTCTAAACCTAATTTGGCAATAGTGTTTTGTTTGTGGGTTGATTTAGCACCTTTACAGAGTCTTTCCAAGGGTTTAACTTAGTGTTCATGACTGGGCACAGTGACTCATGCCTGTAATCCTAGCACTTTGGGAGGCTGAGGCAAGAGGATCACTTGAGGCCAGGAACTTGAGACCAGCCTGAGCAACATAGGAAAATCCCAAATCTACGAAATAAAAAAAAAAATTAGCCGGGCATGGTGGTGCACACCTGTGGCCCCTAGCTACTTGGGAGGCTGAGGCAGAAGGATCACTTGAGCCCAGGAAGTCAAGGCTATAGCAAGTCATGATTGTACCACCGCACTCCAGCCTGGATGACAAAGCGAGACCTTGTCTCAAAAAAAAATAGGCTGGGCTCAGTGGCTCATGCCTATAATCCCGATACTTTGGGAGGTCAAGGCGGGAGGATTACCTGAGGTTGGGAGTTTGAGGCCAGCATGACCAACATGGAGAAACTGTGTCTCTACTAAAAAATACGAAATTAGCCAGGCATGGTGGCGCATGCCTGTAATCCCAGCTACTTAGGAGGCTGAGGCAGGAGAATCGCTTGAACCTGTGAGGCTGAGGTGGTGAGCCAAGATCAAGCCATTGCACCCCAGCCTGGGCAATAAAAGCAAAACTCCGTCTCAAAAAGAAAAATAAAGAGCAACTTAGTATTCATAAAAACAGCAGTTCTTTTCCCATTTCCGTTTCATTTGTTTATGGACTAGCTTGGGAACAAGCCTAGCTGACTCTTGGTAACCTGGCCTTGGTGTTCCTCTTTGTTTACCCTGAGTACACCTGTCTCACAGCGTTTATGACATTTTAGCAAAACTACTCGGTCGACCTATCTGTCCCCCCATCAGCCCATCAGCATTCCAAGGCAGGACAGTATTTGCGTCTTCTCCCATCAGCCCCTAGCACAGTGTCTACAGTGGAGTCAGGCACAGGGCTAGTCCAGCAGTGAATACTTACTGAAAGGAGTTGGCCTGCCTCTTTGCTCTTCCTCTGCCCACACTTGCTTCTCTTCCCCTCACCGAGGTGTGCTGTTTGCCCAGAAGCCTGTGGTCCACCTCCTCGCGGGGTCTGCCCCCCAGAGCCTCGGCAGCAGCGCCAGCAGCAGCAGCAGCTCTCACTGCTCACCAAGTCCTACCTCATCCCGGGGCACCCCCAGCGCAGAGCCCTCCACCAGCTGGTCCCTCTGATGGGCAAGACCCAGCTTCCCACTTGCCACTCTCCTGCCGAGAGTAACAGAAATTGATGCACAGAATTTACCTCATCTCACGGAGCCCACGTCGACGAGCACCATTTGGCCAGACATGGAGAGTTTGGACGTGTCCGTCTGTCCAGGCTCCTTTCAGGTCCTGCTGTACTCTGGGGGCAGGGAGAGGCTAGAGGGGCAGGACAGGGCAGCGTTGTCCAATCAGGGATTGTCCTGGAGAACTGGGTGGGGGTCTGTGGGTGTCCAGCTTCCTCTAGGGTTCCCCAGCCACCTCCCAGCCCGGGGCACAGTGTATCGACAATCTGTCAGCCGACACAGGGCTGGAGGCCCTCCATTTCCCTTCCCCTTTAATTTATTTCCCTGCCCCTCCTGCCATGACTCCAGGGCCCCTCGTCTCTTCCCCTGTTTTTAAGTCCCATGTGGGGCTGCTAGGAGCCGAGAGCATGCCTTCATGCACTTCTCTGCTGAGCATGGGATGGGGCCCTCTCAGCCCATCTTGCCTACTGTTAGGTTCCTGGGGTTTGGGTCCCTCAAACTCAAGTCTTGAATCAGTCCTCAGGGCCCCAGATCCCCCTTTAATGGTCCCAAGGAAGAGACCGTAAGAGCAGTTTGGGGCCAGGGCCCACGGGGCACCTGCTGACGGGAAGGCAGAGGCTCAGTGCTGCCCAGCCCTGGCACCTACTTAATACGGGCCCTTCTCTGACCCCCAAAACCTCCTGTTCCCCATTTGCCCTTGTTAGCCCGCTTTCCCAAGAATAGCCCACTTCTCCCCTCCCCAGCCCCCTTCCATTTCTCATGGGGCCATCTCGGCCTCACCATCCCCACACGTGCCGATGTCAGGTTCATTGAAATACCTCAGATTTGTAATTATTGACGTTTGAGTCTTCAGGAAGTATTTGCATCTCTGAAATCTTTTTTATGTGTTTTGCTGACTTGTTTTTTTTTTATTTTAAAATTTTTATTGTTGTAGCACCAAAGAAATGAAAACAGATCACCCCAAAGCCAAGCAAATGATTGGGTACTCCGGCCCCTCCAGCTCTTCTCTCAAGCCCAGTGAGGAGGCCAGGGGGAGGCAGGCAGGGAAGACGACTCAGGGATCGTGGGGCGGGGAGGTGGAGTCGAGAGGCCTGCTCTCAGGCCGGTTGGGCCCTGGAACCGCACCAGTTCTGAAGACAGTCCATTTTCTGCCACACCCCCACCCCTAGCTGACCAGGGAGGCAGCAGAACACCTCCCCGTCACTCAGCATTCCCAGCTTAGGGCACCAGCAGGCTGGGGTCCTCGCTGGCCTTACTGGAGGTTGAGCCGCCCCAGCTATGAGGAGATGCCAAGAACTCCACTGCTCCTGGACCCCAGAGGCGGGGAGCAGGTGGCTCCTGTGCTGTCAAGAAAAGGTGGTTCTTGAGTGTGGCTCACCCCAGTCGAAGAAGCCCTGGAGTATTGAGCGGAACACCACCGCTGTGACATGGGGTGGAGACGGTGGGAGACACTGTGCGTGACGTGGGTGTGTGGCAGCACGGCTAGCATTCAGTCCTGTGTAGGAGAGGAAAGGGAATCAAAAGCTTGAGCACAAATAGATACCTCAGCCTGAGAAGCTGCAGCTCTGCTCACCCATCTCCTCTCTCCCCCAGCCCTCCACACACACTCCAGCTCCCACACTCACTCACACACCCCATCTCCGGGGGGCTGACCTCGTCTGGCCTCAGCCTGCAGGGTGAGGGCAGAGAAGGGTATCTGGGATCTGGTGCCATTGAGGAGCCCAGTTAGCTGGCATTGGGCCCACTTGAAGGTGTCTCAGACATTTGGCCAGTGTGTCTTTCTCAGGGGTTTGGTCACGAAGGATGGACTCTTCCCACCCAGAGGATGCAGGGACAGTACGCTGTGTTTTTCCGATCATTGGATCCTCTCCCTTTCCCCCAGCCGCTCACCTGGCTGCACCCTCAGAGCGAACCCTCACTGCCCTCAAAGACAGCATCCGGGTCTCAGCCAGAGCCCGATGGGGGGTGCCAGCAGGTGTCCCCAGAAGTGGGGCCTTGGCCCAAGCAGAGCTTTCCCTGAAGGTGCAGTCAGCCAGGGCAGCTGTGTTCCCTCCCTGCTCCCCATCTTATGTGTATTTTAACCAGGAAAAGTGTGATAGCACATGGGTAGCCTAGGCAGTGAATAAATACCTCAGATGTCCTCCTGCAACAAGTGTCTGTATATGTTGTGGTTATTTTTATCTTACATGTTCTTGAATGTTTATATTTCAATAAACTTCTACCTCTTCGCACAAGCAGGTCTCTCTCAGTTGCTTTGGGTGGCCCTTCCACTGGACAGTACTGGGGAGAGCTGAGCTGCCGAGTGAAAGGGGCTGAGTGAACTACTCCTCACCCCTGATCTCTCCTGAACCTTCTCCCCTTTCCCACCCCTCTTCAGAGGGAAAGCTCACTGAGCTTACTCTCAGCTTCCCTTCTGTGTTAGCAGGGTTCTCTGGCATTACCACATCACCAGACCGATTCCAGTGATGTCACATCTATCCCAGCAGGCACAGGGCCAGCAGGTCACCTTGATTCTGCAAGCCCCTGTTAAGCTCCTGCTGGGTCAGACACTAAGGGAAAAGCCACAGGGTTATCTAGACTGAGACGGATTCTTTAGAATACAGCCTGCCTGGGGCTGTACAGTGGCTACCACTGGTGGGCAGATAGAAGCTGGAGCAGCCACAGAACTTCTGGAAGGCTTCCCAGAGGTGGCAGTGTTAAAGCTGGAAGAGTCAGAGTTTGCACTGGAGAGGAGCATTCCCTGCAAAGGAATACATACATACATACATACAAATACATAGGGAAATACAGTGGCATCAAAGGACCTGGCACTGGGGAACTGTGGCTTGTGCCTTGGGTCAGTGGGTGAAGGGGAGGGGAATTGGGAAAAAGTGAAGCTGGGGCCAACATGGGTCCCAGGCTAATGGATTGAGGGGCCATCCTCTGAGACTTAGGATGTATTTTCACCAGGGCATGGGCTTAGAAGCTTTTCTAGAAGGGTGATGTGAAGCCAGGTGACACGCTGGGCGTGGAACCCTGGGGCACTGCCAGTGGAGCTCAAGCCTAGACCCTAGAGCCTTTTCTCTATCATGATGCATACTCCTCAGCATACCCTGAAAACACGCAGAGAGGCAGGCCCTGGGGGGGACTGGGAATTGCCTCTGCCATCCGTGACAGCATACTGTACCTGTCTATGTAACCACGTGAAGTCAGGCTAGCAGGGATCCTTATCTGGTATTTTTTACTTTTTGTATATGTGTATACATATGCACACACACATACGGGGTTTTTTTGTTGGTTTTTTAGACAGGGTCTCACTGTGTCACACAGGCTGGAGTGCAGTGGCACAATCAGCTCACTGCAGCCTCAAACTGGACCCAGGTGATGATCCACCCCCTCCAGCCTCCCAGATAGCTAGGACTACAGGTTCATGCCACCATGCCTGGCTAGTTTTTGTTTTTTTTTTTTTTTAAGTTTTTGTAGAGACGAGGTCTTGCTGTGTTGCCCAAGCTGGTCTTGAACTCCTGGGCTGAAATGATCCTCTGCTTCAGGCGTCCCACAATGGGATTACAGGCATGAGCCACTGCATCTAGCCTCTGGCATTTTGAAATGCTAGAAAAAGAGGGTCAGTCTTGAGAGTCCATTACTGATTAATCTTGTGGGGAAAAAAATGACTGATACTTTAGCACTTTACTGGTAACCACTCATTCGTATCACACCTCACAACTTCCTGGCCACATGGAAATTTAAAAGACCCATCTAGGAGGGAGCTGAGTGATGACGGGCAGAACCAGGCCCAGAGGCACTTGAGATGGAAACAACATATGGTGGCTGGTGGGGAGGGGGGGCTTGCAGGGATCCTGGGAGAGTTCTGGAAGAAGTGGCATCTGAAAGAAATGGTGATGAATCCAGGGAGAACAGGGCACCAGGCCACTGCAATTCCATTCCATTTCAAATTAATAAAATATTGAAGAATATCTTGACCTTAAGAATTTCTCAGCTGGGCGTGGTGGCTCACGCCTGTAATCCCAGCACTTTGGGAGGCCGAGGTGGGCAAATCACAAGGTCGGGTGATTGAGACCAGCGTGGCCAACTTGGTGAAACTGTCTCTACTAAAAAATACAAAAATTAGCTGGGCGTGGTGGTGCGTGCCTGTAGTCCCAGCTACTCAGGAGACTGAGGCAGGAGAATTGCTTGAACCTGAGAGGCCGAGGTTGCAGTGAGCCGAGATTGCACCACTGCACTCCAGCCTGGTGCCTGGCAACAGAGTGAGACTCCAGCTCAAAAAGAAAAAAAAAATTTCTCAAGCTAGATCCTTCAAAAAAGCTCAAGTGGCCAGGCACGGTGGCTCATGCCTGTAATCCCAGCACTTTAGGAGGCCGACGAGAGAGGGTCACTTGATGGGTCTGAGACCAGCCCTGGCAACATAGTGAGACCCTCCTGTCTACAAAACAAAATTTAAAGTCAGCCAGACATGCTGGTGTGCACCCAGCCCATAATGATTTCTTTCTGATGCTTATTAATCTTTAAGACAAAAGCAGAAAGAAAGAGTTAGGGAGAGGGGGCTAAGTCACAAATAGATGTTTCATCTAAAAGAAAACACAGATGGCTTTCGTCACTGTGATCAGGGAAATGCTGAAGAATCCACCTCCCACTACTGGACTGACACAAACTTAAACGTCATAGAGTACCAGGTCCTGGCAAGGATGAGGAGCAGCAGGAACTCTCACACACTCTTGGGCTAACCAGTTTGGAAACCACTTTGGCATTACCTACTAAAGCTGATCGTGCACTTGTCCCTAGGGCCCTGTAATTTCACTCCTACGTTTGTCACCCAGGAGATGGACAGGAAAGTTCACACAGCACTGATGGCTTCGTAATAAGTTGGCTGTGAAACTAGCAATTGAACCTGGTGTGGCGAGGTCCCACAGCGCGAGTGGAGGAGCTGGGGCTGTAGTTGAGTATCTGCAGAGCCCAGAGCTTGTGCCCTGAACACAAATGCTAAGCACTCTATACACGCCTCCTACAGCTCTATGAGGCAATTTTTTTCCTTTAACATTATTTATTATAAAATTACAGAGCCGGGCGCGGTGGCTCACACCTGTAATCGCAGCACTTTGGGAGACTGAGGCAGGCAGATCAACTGAGGTAGGGAATTCAAGACCAACCAGGCCAACATGACGAAACCCTGTCTACTAAAAGTACAAAAATTAGCTAATGGGACGTGGTGGCTCACACCAGTAATCCCAGCCACTAGGGAGGCTGAGGCACGAGAATCGCTTGAACCTGGGAGGTGGAGGTTGCAGTGAGCCGAGTTCATGCCATGGCACTCCAGCTTGGGTGACAGAGCAAGACTTTGTCTTAAAAAAAAAATTATCCAGCCAAACTAAGCTTCATAAGTGAAGGAAAAATAAAATCCTTTGCAAACAAGCAAGTACTCAGAGATTTCATCACCACCAGGCCTGCTTTACGAGAGCTCCTGAAAGAGGCACTAAACATAGAAAGGAACAACCAGTACCAGCCACTCCAAAAACATACCAAATGGTAAAGAGCATCAACACAAGGAAGAAACTGCATCAACTTATGGGCAAAACAACCAGCTAGCATCAAAATGGCAGTATCAAATTCACACATAACAATATTAACCCTAAATGTAAATGGGCTAAATGCTCCAATCAAAAGACACAGACTGGCAAATTGGATAAAAAGCTAAAACCCATTGGTGTGCTGTATCCAGGAAACCCATCTCACATGCAAGGATACACAAAGGCTCAAAATAAAGGGATGGAGGAAGATTTACCAAGCAAATGGAGAGCAAAAAAAAAGCAGGAGTTGCAATTCTCGTCTCTGATAAAATAGACTTTAAACCAACAAAGATCGAAAGAGACAAAGACAGACATTACATAACAGTAAAAGGATCAATGCAACAAGAAGAGCTAACGATCCTAAATATATATGGACCCAATACAGGAGCACCCAGATATATAAAGCAAGTTCTTAACGACCTACAAAGAGACTTGGACTCCCACACAATAATAGTGGGAGACTTTAACACCCCATTGTCAATATTAGATCAATGAGACAGAAAATTAACAAGGATATCAAGGACTTGAACTCAGACATGGACCAAGCAAACCTGATAGACATTTACAGAACTCTCCACCCCAAATCCACAGAATACACATTCTTCTCAGCACCACATCACACCTACTCTAAAATTGACCACATAATTGGAAGTAAAGCACTGCTCAGGAAATGCAAAAGAACAGAAATCATAACAGTCTCTCAGACCACAATGCAATCAAGTTAGAACTCCGAATTCAGAAACTAACTCAGAACCGCACAGCTTCATGGAAACTGAACAACTGACTCTTGAATGTTGACTGGATAAACCAAGAAATGAAGGCAGAAATAAAGATGTTCTTCGAAAACAACGAGAATGAAGACACAACATACCAGAATCTCTGGGACACATTTAAAGCAGTCTCTAGAGGAAAGTATATAGCAATAAATGCCCACATGAGAAGCAAGGAGAGATCTAAAATTGACACCCTATCATCAAAATTGAAAGAGCTAGAGGAGCAAGATAAAAAAACTCAAAACCTAGCAGAAGACAAGAAATAACTAAGAGCAGAACTGAAGGAGATAGAGACACAAAAAGCCCTTCAAAAAAATCAATAAATCCAGGAGCTGGTTTTTCGAAAAGATCAACAAAATAGAGAGACCACTAGCCAGATTAATAAAAAAGAAAAGAGAATAATCAAATAGATGCAATAAGACGATAAAGGAGATATCACCACAGATTCCACAGAAATTCAAACCATCATCAGAGATTATTACAAACAACTCTATGCACATAAACTAGTAAACCTGGAAGAAATGGATAAATTCCTGGACACTTGCCTCCTCCCAAGCCTAAACCAAGAAGAAGTCGAAACCCTGAATAGACCAATAACAAGGTCTGAAGTTGAGGCAGCAATTAAGAGCCTACCACCCAAAAAAGCCCAGGTCCAGAGGGATTCACAGCCGAATTCTACCAGACATACAAAGAGGAGCTGATACCATTTCTTCTAAAACTATTCCAAATAATCCAAAAAGAGGGAATCCTTCCCAAATCATTTTATGAGACCAACATCATCCTGATACCAAAACCCGGCAGAGACTCAGCAAGAAAAGAAAACTTCAGGCCAATATCCATGATGAACATAGATGCAAAAATCTTCAATAAAATACTGGCAAGCTGATTGCAACAGCACATCCGAAAGCTTATCCATCACAATCAAGTAGTCTTCATGCAGGGGATGCAAGGCTGGTTCAACATATGCAAGTCTATAAACATAATTCACCACATAAACAGAACCAAAGACAAAAACCATATGATTATCTCAATTGATGCAGAGAAAGCCTTTGACAAAATTCAACAGCCCTTCATGCTACAAACCCTCAATAAACTAGGTATTGACGGAATGTATCTCAAAATAACAAAAGCTATTTACGACAAACCAACAGCCAATATCATACTGAATGGGCAAAAACTGGAAGCTTTCCCTTTGAAATCTGGCACTAGACAAGGATGCCCTTTCTCACCACTCTTATTCAATATAGTACTGGAAGTTCTAACCAGAGCAATCGGGCAAGAAAAAGAAATAAAGGGTATTCAATTAGGAAAGGAGGAAGTCAAATTGTCTCTATTTGCAGACGACATGATTGTATATCTAAAAGACCCCATCATCTCAGCCCGAAATCTCCTGAAACTGATAAGCAACTTCAGCAAAGTCTTGGGATAAAAAATCAATGTGCAAAAATCACAAGCATTCCTATACACCAATAACAGACTTACAGAGAGCCAAATCAAGAAAGAACTGCCATTCACCATTGCTACAAAGAGAACAAAATACCTAGGAATAAAACTAACAAGGAACGAACATAAAGGACCTCTTCAAGGAGAACTACAAACCACTGCTCAACGAAATAAGAGAGGACACAAACAGATGGAGAAACATTCCATGTTCATCATTAGGAAGAATCAATATCGTGAAAATGGCCATATTGCCCAAAGTAATTTACAGATTCAACGCTATCCCCATCAAGCTACCAACGACCTTCTTCACAGAACTGGAAAAAAACACCTTAAACTTCATATGGAACCAAAGAGAGCCCGCATAGCCAAGTCAATTCTAAGCAAAAAGAACAAAGCAGGAGGCAGCACACTAAAGAACAAAGCAGAAGGCATCACACTACCGAACTTCAAACTATACTACAAGGCTACAGTAATCAAAACAGCATGGTACTGGTACCAAAACAGAGATATAGACCAATGGAACAGAACAGAGGCCTCGGAGGCAACACAACATATCTACAACCATCTGATCTTTGACAAACCTGACAAAAACAAGCAATGAAGAAAAGATTCCCTGTTTAATAAATGGTGTTGGGAAAACTGGCTAGCCATGTGCAGAAAGCAGATGGCTTTCTGACACCTTACACTAAAATTAACTCCAGATGGATTAAAGACTTAAACAGAAGACAACACCATAAAAACCCTAAAAGAAAATCTAGGCAAAACCATTCGGGACATAGGCATAGGCAAGGACTTCATGACCAAAACACCAAAACACTGGCAACAAAAGCCAAAATAGACAAATGGGACCTAATCAAACTCCACAGCTTCTGCACGGCAAAAGAAAGTCATTAGAGTGAACTGGCAACCAACAGAATAGGAAAAAATTTTTGCAGTCTACCCATCTGACAAAGGGCCCATATCCAGAATTTACAAAGAAGTCAAACAGATTTACAAGAAAAAAACAAACAAGCCCATTCAAAAGTGGGCAAAGGATATGAACAGACACCTTACAAAGGAAGACATACATGAGGCCAACAAACATGAAAAAATGCTCATCATCACTGGTCATTAGAGAAGTGCAAATCAAAACTACATTGAGATACCATCTCACGCCAGTTAGAATGGTGATCATTAAAAAATCTGGAGACAACAGATGCTGGAGAGGATGTGGAGAAATAGGAACACTTTTACACTGTTGGTGGGAGTGTAAATTAGTTCAACCATTGTGGAAGACAGTGTGGTGATTCCTCAAGGACCTAGAAATAGAAATTCCATTTGACCCAGCAATATCCTTTGGATATATACCCAGTAATAATTTGGATATATTACTGGGTATATATCCAAAGGATTATAAATCGTTCTACTATTAAGGACACATGCACAGGAATGTTCATTGCAGCACAGTTTACAATAGCAAAGACCTGGAACCAACCCAAATGCCCATCGATGATAGACTGGACAGGGAAAATGTGGCACATGTATACCATGGAATAGTATACAGTCATCAAAAACGATGAGTTCGTGTCCTTTGTTGGGACATGGATGAACCAGGAAACCATCATTCTCAGCAAACTGACACATGAACAGAAAATCAAACACCACATGTTCTCACTCATAGGCAGGTGTTGAACAATGAGAACACACGGACACAGGGAGGGAAGCATCACACACTGGGGTCTGTTGGGGGGAAATAGGAGAGGGACAGCGGGGGGGTTGGGAGTTGGGGAAAGATAGCATGGGGAGAAATGCCAGATATAGGTGAAGGGGAGGAAGGCAGCAAATCACACTGCCATATGTGTACCTATGCAACTATCTTGCATCTTCCTCACATGTACCCCAAAACCTAAACTGCAATAAAATAAATAAATAAATAAATAAATAAATTATAGGGACGAGGTCTCACCATGTTGTCCCGGCTGGTCTCCAACTCTTGGGCTCAAGAGATCCTCTCATCTCAGCCTCTCAAAATTCTGGGATTACAGGCGTGAAACACCGCGCCTGTCCAAGGCAGGGCTGGGATGGGACTCCAAAGCGGGTGTCCTTAACTTCTCCCCCAAGTCCTCCCCTTCAGGGAGGGGAAGGCACCAGAGGAAGGCAGAGGATCTAAGGGCGGTTGTCCTCAGGTCTCTACTACGCTAAGCTGCGCTCAGCCGGGGATACCGGAGCGGCCTCCGGAAGCTCCTGGAAAAGCTTGCCCGGCGGCAAGCGACAGGGCCCCACGCCATTGGCCAGGATGGAGTCACGTGCCCCACCAGAGCCAATGGGAGCGAGGGGGCAGGTGGCCGGGAATGACCTTGGACTGCCTGCGCGGCGCTGAGGGAGACCCGCTGTCGGCTGCGCCCCTGCAGCGGCTTGGGGCCGCCTCTGTCTGGGTCTCTGCGAAACGGAGTGGAGGATCTTATGGAAGAGAAGGTTTGGAATCACCGTTGGAGGGAAGAGGAGAAGGAAGCAAGCCGGAGTGGCGGGAACAGGAAGGGACTAGGGATAGAAGCCGGCCTTGGAGACAGTGAGGCACGAACCCCGGCAACCCGGGGACAGATGAGGGGCCCCGATCTCCTCACTGGGCGGGGTGGGCAGGGAAACGAGCAGGAACTGGAGCTAGGGCGAGGACTGCGGGCTGCGGGCTGCGGAGACCAGTGCATAACCGGCCTCAGGGAGGGGCTTCCAGGGGGACAGGGGTCTCCTTTGGAGCAGCACTGATGTTGTTTGCTCAGCAAGGGCTCTTTGTACGAAGTAACCGAAGCCAGTCAGGCCAATGGCGGCAGAGAGGAGAGATTTATTCTTGGATCCAGGGTGTGCGGAGGAGCCCAAGGGCAGCTGGACCCTGTGCCGGGTCAGGAAGGGCCCGGAACCCGGGAAGCTCTGCCCGCGGAGGGTATTCCTCTCCCTCCGACGACTACCTCAAAGCTCAAGTTTATCAGCTCCACACATGAGGCCGCCCTGGGCTGAACTAAAGTCTCACCGTCCCAATTCCAGTTTCTGGGAATTGTCAGCTCCATTTAATCTCATTGAAGTCCAGCTTATGCCACGAGGTGAAAAACAGGACAGCTGACAGTTCCCAAGTTTTCTGTGTCCAGTCTTCGGCCCCGGAGGGACTCTTCTGCTCCAAGTCCTGTGATCCCACTGGTCCTGGGGGCCCACTGGTCCAGTATGGCTCGGTACCCAGCCCTGGATTCCAGCTGAAGCTGGAAGGAGTGGTCATGAAGAACTCAGCATGAACACAGATGGGCACGAATTCCCAGAGATGTCGTGTCCCTCCACGGTACCAAAGAGCCCTCCTCTGAGAAACTGCTTCAGTGAAGGCGCAGATGGAGGGAGGGGTCGGCAACAGAGCTGAGAAGGGTTCCGGGGGCACATGGCTTAGCCAGAGGAAGCTGGCTGGGGAGGAGCGTTGAGAAGAATGGCCAGATGACCTCGAGGGTGTTACCAAGCCTCAGCCCACCTTGCCTGTAGCTCCTGAGCATGGTCACACTAACAAGCTCAGAACAGCTGAGAAACCACGTTTCCGGGACAGATTAGGGGCCCAGGGGGCTTAGCTGCTGGTTTGCTGTGTGACCTATGACAGATTCTCTGGGCAGTTTGTCTGTGAAATGGAGACTGTAGTGTGATCGAAAGTACGAATGAATGAAAACTCACTTTGAAATGTCTAAACCCAGTGCCTAAGGCCTTCCCTGGCAAGACAGAGGGTCCATGGTGGCACTGTGCAATGGCATTAGGGCAGTAATTGGGCCAACCAGGCTTACAGCCCTGCAGCACCTCCTCTGGTGCTGGGCACTGGATGCCCAGCTCTACTCCTAGCCTAGGGTCCCCTGGGAAAATGCCAGGTCATCTCATCCACCAAGAGCGGTATTGGCAACATTGTGCCAACACGGACATTTCCAGCCTGTGGCAGACAGGGGACAAGGAGTGGTTTCTGCCAGGGAGGCCTCTGACTGCAGTTGCCTGTAACAGGCTCCTGCTTCAGGCCTCATAGAAACCCTGGCCTTGGGGGCTGAAGGCACAGCCAAAGGGGCCTCCCCTCTTCCCAAGTCCTTGCCCACCTGTGGTTGCCTAAGGCCTCTTTTTTTTTTTTTTATTGCCTGAGACAGTCTGACTATAGCCCAGGCTGGAGGGCAGTGGTGCAATCTTGGCTCACTGCAACCTCCACCTCCTGGGTTCAAGCAATTCTCCTGCCTCAGCCTCCTGAGTAGCTTGGATTATAGGCATGTGCCATCACCCCCAGCTAATTTTGTATTTTGTGTGTGTGTGGAGACAGAGGTTCGCCATATTGGCCAGGCTGGTCTCTAACTCCTGGCCTCAAGTGATCCACCTGCCTCAGCCTTCCAAAGTGCTGGGATTACAGGCATGAGCCACCATTCCTGACTCCCCGAGGCCTCTCAATCCAGCCTCTTGATGCCAGGACCCCTCAGCTCACGGGCGGGGGTGCAGGGCCTGACCTCAATCCCTTGTGCTGCAGAGTGAGGCTGTGAATGTGTCCCCTGCTGGCTCTGGACACAGACTCCACACTGCCTGAGAACTGCCCCTGGCTTCCAACTTTTCTCAGATGCACTTCTTTTGGCTCCAGGGTTGTGTCTGGGATCTGGGGGCTGAGGAGACAGAGACTCATACCATGGGGGGCAGAGAGGCAGCGCAGGGGGTAGCTTCAGTTCTGTCCAGGGAGAGGGAGGCCGGCTCAGGAATCCATTTAAAACTAGCAAAAGCCCAAGCTGGAAGGGCCTTTCCAGGCTTCTGTTTCCCCTCTACAACCTGCACACAAGAAGGCCAAGGGACAGAAAGGAACTGTACAGAGGTCACTCCCCACCCCAGCTAGAGGGACCCCATATGCAACCTGCAGGGGCCGCGAGGTAGAGGTGGCTGGAGGCTCCTCTCCGGTCCTCCTGGTGCTGGAGTCCTTGGTGCTCAGAGCTGCTGCAGCTCCTGCTCCCCCAGGACACAATTCTCAGCTGATGGTCAGAACTCTTAGGGTCTCCCGGACCCCATCGACAGCTCTGATGCTCTTTACAGAAGTCTCCAAAAAGCAGCTGAGGCAAAGGACAGCATCCCCCACCCCATCAGGCTCCTTATTGCAGGAGCTCAAAGATGATGACCTCGGTAAGAATGAAACAGCATTTAAACACAAGCAAGTAGCTGTCGCCAGCCTGGGAAGGTGCTGTACAGTCTGTCACTGGCCGCTCCACGTTATATCAAACTATTTCCTGAATATCACAAAAAGTACAAACAAAGCCTTGTGGATTGAACATTGCATAAGATAGACTTTGGGACTAAAGCCTGTATGCAGCCGCCCCTAAGCACTCATACATGGTTTTGTGACTTTGGTACTGACTCAGCCAATCTGGACCCCAGATACAGAGGAAACAGGAGGATGGAGAAAACAGGCCCGGTCCCCGGTGCATTGTGTCCCATGCCATCATGCCATACTCACATCAGTCCCTTGTCCTAGGTATTGTCCGTGTTCCCATTTTACAGAGGATACTGAGGCTTAGTGAAGCCAAGACTTGCTCATGCTGGCCAAGCTGGGGAGTGGTGGACAGTGACATGTAAGAGTTCTTGGCTCTCCTTCCATCCATTGCACCAGGTCCAGAGGCCCAGATGACTTGATTCCCTGTGCCCACAGCCTACTCTGCCATGCCCTCTCCTGCTGCTGCTTCTCCTGGCTTCCCATCTTCAGAAAGAAGAAGGCAGACCGGGAGATTGGTCAGGCCTCAGGCCATTGCACAGCCCCACCCATCCTAACCCCTGAGGGGATGAGAGGGGAGCCTTCATAAAGTGTCCCTAAATGCCCCTGCCCCCTGCCCCAGGTCCTCAGAGCAGGAGAGCTGTGGGGCCTAGGGAGCATCTCTGGGAGGGAGGGTTGGGTTTCTCTCTCAAATGCAGGCACCTCTCACCCTGTGGTCATCATTTTACCAGCTCCTGTTCTGGGGGCCTCAGTGGCTGCTGCAGCCTCAGTTTCCCAGGGAGGCTCTCCACCAGCTTGGAGATGGGTAAGGGAGGCAGTGAGCACATTCCAGGCTGAGCCCTCCCCTTGGGCAGCAAGGGCTTGGGAGGAGCTTGACTGATGGAGTGTGGGGAAGGGAAGGTCAATGGCCATGGTGGGCACCAGGGATCGGGCATGGAGGAGCCTGTGGGGCCGTGCAGGCCTGTCAGAAGCACAGTGCGGGCGGGGAGTGCGGGGGCAGCTGCTGAGCACCTCATCCTGTGCAGCCTCCAGGGCCAGCTGCTGAGCTCTCAGCTCTTGAGTCTCAAGCTTCCAGCACATTGCAGACCTTCTCGAGCTCAGTCCGCATCTTGGCCAGTTCTGAGCCCACCTCCTGCAAAGAGGTCTGGGATGGAGGAGGGTGCGGCTGGCATGTGTCTTGATCTGGGGCCTCCCCAAGAACTTCGCTCCCCCTTGGATTCAGAGCTCTAGCCTCACAGGGGCCTTCCTGGGGACTGTGCTTCCCCACAAAGAAGAGGCCACCATGGCGGCATCGGGTGCAGTGCTGACAGAGCTGCACCAGGGGAAGGAGTGGGAGGGCGCACCATCCCCTCCAAGCTTCGCGGGTGACTGAAGGCCCAACGCTTGCCCTGAACCCCAGATCCTGCAATTCCCTCTTTCCTTTTACCCCTGAGTCCCACAGCGCTCGCTGTACAGTAGTACTGCACAGCCCAGGAGCTCACGTCACCCTCCATCTGCACGTCCTGCATAGGGCTGAGCCCACAAAACCTTGGTCCCGAACACACTTGTTTCATCACATCAGTTGGTGAGTCCACTCTGCCGAGGAGTGACACCTCGTTCCCTCTCAGGGCCACGCTGAGGTTGTTTGAGGGCAGGGCAGCCGGGGTTCCAGGCCTGGGATGAGTCTAGGCTGAGCCCTCGGTGCTCAGTGGAGAGCCCCATCCCGAATCATTGGATCCACAAGCCAGGCTCCCTACTCTATGCCCTGCTCCCCCGCCCAGGCCCTGCCTTCCCTTCTCCACATGGCCCCTGTCTCAGCTCCTCCAGCTCCACGAAACAAGGGTCCAGTGTGGTCCCAGAGAGCCCAGTCCACATGGCAATGGGAGACCAGAGCGAAGATCTCTGCCTGGGAGGTCCCACCTCCAGACTGATCTCTTATTCCTGGAGCCGGCTGTTCCAGCTCCACCGTCATCTGTCCCTGAGCTCACCTATCGGCCTCTGGTGGAGTCCACATTGCAGATTCAGGCTCCTTGGCAGACCTGGGCTCCCACAGCTCGTGGGGGCTGGGAGGCAGAGATGCTGCTGGGTGTGGCAGGGAGAGCAGGACCGCCCCCACCCTGTTCTGTGCGTCATTAGCTCCACCGAGGCCGCTGGGCAACTCAGCTGAGGCACAGGCCCTGTTCTATAGAGCTAGGGAGACTGTGCAGCAGGGACAGTGAGCCAGTGGGTAAACTGAACAGGGTCACAGGATCACTGAGTGTCAGAGCTCCCCAGAGTCCCATCCCCGCACCACACCCAGTGTGCAGGTGGAGCTGTACAGGAGAGCCCCACACCCGGTGTGCAGATGGAGCTGTACAGGAGAGCCCCACACCCGGTGTGCAGATGGAGCTGTACAGGAGAGCCCCACGCCCGGTGTGCAGATGGAACTGTACAGGAGAGCCCCACACCCGGTGTGCAGATGGAGCTGTACAGGAGAGCCCCACACCCGGTGTGCAGGTGGAGCTGTACAGGAGAGCCCCACGCCCAGTGTGCAGGTGGAGCTGTACAGGAGAGCCCCACACCCGGTGTGCAGATGGAGCTGTACAGGAGAGCCCCACACCCGGTGTGCAGGTGGAGCTGTACAGGAGAGCCCCACGCCCGGTGTGCAGGTGGAACCGTACAGGTGAGCCCCACACCCGGTGTGCAGATGGAGCTGTACAGGAGAGCCCCACACCCGGTGTGCAGGTGGAGCTGTACAGGAGAGCCCCACACCCGGTGTGCAGGTGGAGCTGTACAGGAGAGCCCCACACCCGGTGTGCAGATGGAGCTGTACAGGAGAGCCCCACACCCGGTGTGCAGGTGGAGCTGTACAGGTGAGCCCCACACCCGGTGTGCAGGTGGAGCTGTACAGGAGAGCCCACACCCGGTGTGCAGATGGAGCTGTACAGGAGAGCCCCACACCCGGTGTGCAGATGGAGCTGTACAGGAGAGCCCCACACCCGGTGTGCAGATGGAGCTGTACAGGAGAGCCCCACACCCGGTGTGCAGATGGAGCTGTACAGGAGAGCCCCACACCCGGTGTGCAGGTGGAGCTGTACAGGAGAGCCCCACACCCGGTGTGCAGATGGAACCGTACAGGTAAGCCCCACACCCAGTGTGCAGATGGAACTGTACAGGAGAGCCCCAGCAACAGTGAGGGGCTTGGTCAAGGCCACCGGCTAGTTTGGGGCAGAGCTGGGACTAGAATCTCAATCAGTGTTTGTGGAACCCTTGTCACTTGACAGACCATCGAGGACTCCCAGTGGCTCCATCCACAGGCTGTGGGGCTGGAGGCTGGTGGGTGGGGCTTGCCTGGTGCCCACTCAGGTAAATGCCTGTGTAGTCCCCTGGAGAAGCCACAGTGGGCTGAGTGGGGAAGGGGCGAAGTCAGGCCCACTTACCACTTGCAGACTCTGGGAGCCGGCCTGGGGTCTCTGCTGGGATCTGCCCTGTGGGAAGAGGGCAGGTGGCAAGGACTCGGGAGCGCTTGGGCTGCTCCGGGGTGGTTGCCCTCCCTTCAGGCTGTCAAAATTGACTGAATTCTTATGTCCCTGTTCTTGGGTGGGCATGCTCAGGCCACCCTGACCTGGGGCACCTGACCCTCACCCCTAGCAGCTGGTGCTGAGGGTTCTGGTGCCAGTGGCAGCCAAAGTCCTGCTCCTGCCTGCAGGTTCCCAGCTCATGAATGGGGGCAAGAGCCTTTCCATTCATGGACAGATGGGCCGTGGCAGTCCCCGAGGCCCCACATGCCTGCACCTGAGCACCCCAGTACTCAGGGCCAGGGTGGAGAGCTTGGGACCCATTAAACACACAGGAGGCTGAGGCCCCATAGGGGAAGGGCTGTGGCTGTGGCAGAGCCTGGCCTCCCACTTTAATCCTCAAGGCCCCTGACTTCACGTGTGGGAAGGGCTCTGGGGTCCTCAGGAGGCTTCCTTGGGGGCCCTGACTGCAGACGGGGCCCTCACACCACCCCAGGCAGCCCAGCTACTGCCCACCTTCCCAACCTCTGGATCCCAGCAGCCAACTGGTGGTTCTCCCTCTCCAGAGCCTGCAGCCTGCTCCTGTGACTGGCCAGGAAGGGGTGAGGAGGGGCAGGTTGCATCCCCATCCAGGGGCCCCGCTCCCCACAGAAACCCTCACACAGCTCTTGGGATTGGGCAGGTCCAGCCTTCAGAGGGGAGCTGATCTCCTCCTGGGCCTGGGCATGCCCTCCCTAGCTGGCATGTGGATGAGGGACCCAGGGGGCTCACTGGGCAGCGCCCACCCAGACTCACCACAGCTCCTCCTGTGCACATTCTGCAGCTGTGTTGAGGGTCCTATGGTTACATGAGGCGAGAAAACAAGAGGGAGCACTGGGGCCCTGAGGTCTCAAGTCACACCCATCCGGGGAGGTAGCAGGAAGCAAACTGGGGCATTCTGGGTTGAACTGTATCCCCTGCAGCAACAACAAAAGATATATTGAAGTGCTCAGTACCTCGTGATGAGACAGGATCATTACAGAGGTAATCACCCTAAAATGAAGAAATGAGGCTGGGCTTTAATCCAAGCTGACTGGAGTCCTATAGACAAAGGGGAAATGTGGGCATAGGCAGACACACAGCGAGTCGCCATGTGGACATCCCGGGAGGAGTGTCAAAGACTGCTGGCAAAGCACCAGAAGCAGGGGACGAAGCGTAGATCAGACCCTCCCTCACAGCCCTCAGAAGGAACCAGCCCTGCCGACACCCTGACCCGAACTGCAGCCTCCAGAACCAGGAGACAATGAATACCTGCCGCTGAAGCTACCCCGTCTTCAGCTCTTTGTCATGTCAGCCCCAGAAAACTCACACAGAGGGTAAGTGGAATCCAGCCCCTGTGGCAGCTCTCTGGCCCTAAAAGGACCCTGACTTGGAGGGGAACTTTCTCCTCAAAGTGGCCACACCTGCAGCAGCAGGACGTGTGCAATCGTAGTGGCAAATGTGACCGAACACCATGTGTTTTAACATGCTTGTCCATGTAACCCTCTTAAGGAGAACCGTAATTTTCACTTTTGCAGATAAGGCCCAGAGAGGCAGAGTAACTGGCCAAGGTCACACAGCTAGTATATCTTGAAGCCAAGATTGAAACCCACAGTCTTATCCACTAATCTGGGGACAGTGCAGACTAGTGAATCCTGGGATTGGAGACAGACTGCGATAGAGACCCAAAGAGGGTTTGGTAGAGGAGCTTGAGGCTGGGGATGGGACTGGAGGGGGAGCATGCCAGAGCCCCTGGGAGCACTGGGTGCTGAGCTCTCAAAGTCCCGGGCCAGTCTGAGGTTGATGCAATGTGGCTTCGTCCAGACCCTATCAGCTGCTGCCCCACCTCCGAGAACCTCGCCCTACTGGAAGAGCACTGCTCGTTTGGTCCATCGGCCACTCTGCACAGGACCCCTGCCCATGACCCAGGTTCTGCATTGCAGGCCATCCTCACTGGACAGGCCCCCACCTGCCTGTAGAAGGTGAGTCCTGGGTTGGCCTTCCAGGGATCTAGGAGGGAGTAGAAACAGCCTGGGCAGTCTCCAAGGGGCTGGAAGGCCCTGCACGTGGGGCCCAAATTGACACAGGCTTATGTGTCATGTGCAGGCTACGTGCATATGGCTCCCCTGGCACCACTTCCTGCCAGGAGACGAATCTGCCAAGGGCCCAGCCCTCTGTCACTCCACTACCTTCTCACTGACATTGTCCACTGCAGGTCCTCAGACATGACCAGAGAATATAGCCCATCCAGGCCCTGAGGATATATCCTCTCCTGCTCCTGGTCTGGTTTGAGACATAGACGAAAGAAAGAAAGAAGAAGAGAGAGAGAGAGAGAGAGAGAGAGAGAGAGAGAGAGAGGGAGGGAGGGAGGGAGGGAGGGAGGGAGGGAGGGAGGGAGGGAGGGAGGGAGGGAAGGAAGGAAGGAAAAATGCTGAGATTTTCTTCTGTACAAACATACAGTGGCAGACTACACGGCAAACATAAGGAACCGCCCCCTCTGAGCACAGCTCTGTACCCGTCTGAGATACACTGAATTGCACCAACTCAGCCTTGAATGACGTCCAAGGCCAGCTAAGCTTTCTCTCCCTTTCCTTCCATCCAGATCAGCAGAACAGCTTCAGTTGGGGGCCTCCTGGCAGAGGTGGATCCCACCTGGGGTCCTTACAACTCTACCTCCCTATGGCTCCCAGGCACTTGGCTGGTGTCTGTATCTCTGTGTCTCTGTGTGTGCACATCCGGGAGTGCTTGCACATGTCTGATGTGTACCTTGGGGGGTGTGTGCATGTGTGTCTGTGTGTCTGTCTGCCCATGTACACATACACTTGCCCAGAAGACTAAGGGATGCTGGCCAGGAGAAGGCAGCACCAAGCTGGAGTTGAAGTCAGGTGGACAGGAGCTGGGACGTCTAAGCCCTGGATCTGGCCCCTGTCCCACGTCCATAGTAGCCCCTCAGGCACTCTGCCTCTCATCTGATCAGGGACTGTTTACAACACTCCTCCTCCATCTCTGATGTATGCACGTGTAGTTTCCTCTTGCTGAAATGCCCTTCATTCCCTTTGTCCTCCTAGAAAATGCCTGTCTATCCTTGTGTGAGGGTTCAGAGGCTCAGAAATGCCTTCTCTGGGAAGGACTCACCTGTCTGCCACCCCAACCAGCTCCCATACTGCCTCTTCCCTCATCTGGCACATTAAGTTATCATTGCTTGCAAAATAGGCACAGTGGCTCATGCCTGTAGTCTCAGCACTCTGTGACGCCCAGGCGGGAGAACTGCTTGAGGCCAGGAGTTCGAGACCAGCCTGGGCAATGTAGTGAGACTCCATGTCTACAAAAATAAAAAATAGAAGACTTAGCCAGGCACGTTGATGTCTGCCTGCAGTCCCAGCTACCTGAGGCAGGAGGATCGCTTGAGCCCAAGAGTTTGAGGCTACAGTGAGCTATGATTCTACCATTGCACTCCAGCCTGAGTGACAGAGTGAGACGCTGGCCCAATTAATCAGTCTATCATAAATCAATACTAAATGTTTGCTCAATGACTGTGTGCCTCAAGACCATAACCTGTTGAGGACAAGGAGCGATCTGATTTGACGTTGCTTCTGCACACAGAAGACGGCCAGGCATGCAGTAGATGCTCAGTAAATGCGTGCTGAACACATGGATGGAGAAAGATGAGCCACGATGAGGAAAAGGCAGAAAATGGAGAGATGCATAAGAGATGGGGGCATCCTGAGGAGGGGTAAGAGACTAGCTGGTTACCCCTAGTCCCTAGCATGGGAAAGACTGGGCAGTGGGGAAGACAATGGGGCGAAGGGGATTCTGGGAGGTGGAGAAGAAGGAGGGAGGTAGAGAGCGCCCACCTGGGGAGGCCAGGTCCCACTCTGCCTCTGGAGTCTCTGCAGTTCCTCCTCTTTAAATGTCAGGGCAACTGCCACCTGGTGCCAGCGTGCCTTCCAGTACCGCTCCATCTCCTCATGAAGCCTGGGATGTGAGTCTTGTGCCTCTAGCTCTATCCTGAGAGGCACTGGTGCCTCCTGCACCTGGAGTGGACTGGAAGAAATGGGGTACAGGTACAGCGTGGACCCCAGATCACCCCCGCCCCACTCCCTTTTAATGATTCCTTTCTCATTCTGTCCTGTGGACTAGGAGGGGGTGGGGCAGAGATGCCTCTCTCACGGCTCCCTGCACTCACAGAACCCCTTTGTACTGGGCGCTTCTACTCCCAAGCACCCTGACTTGCACCCAGCAGCTAAGGTCGTCTCACCCCCACCTCCCACCTGCCCCTGGGCCAGCAGGAGGGGCTTGGCCATGTGTAGGTAAGACAGGACTTCCTGAAGCTGACAGATTTCCCACCCCATAAAAGAGCCAGAATGCGACAAGCAGGAGCGCTGATAGCTGGTGAAGGGAGACTGGCTCTGGTCACGTGATTCCGGGTTTAGGGCCCTGGGCCATTCCCCCTCAGCCAGCTGGTGACAAAGGTTGGCCTACTGCCTGCTGAGAGGGCCATCTCACCCACTGTGAAAGCAGAGCACCCACCCCAGCCTGGCTTGGACACTCTGAGGATGGGCCTGAGCAGTCACCCACAGGCCTCTTGGCCTGGGCCACACCAAGTGCCGCTGGCAGCACTGCCCTCTCCCCAGGTAGCCAGGTGCGCTCTGCATCCAGGGCCTGCATACGGCCCCCCAACACCGTGTGCTCACCCTGCAGATGCTGCAGCTGCTCCAAGCAGGCCCCTAGTTGCTGGTGGCTCCAGCCCAGCTCTTCTGAGAGTCTTTTGTTCACCTGGGAAGATTCCCACCCTACTAAGTTGTGGCTCAGCCTCCACCAGGACTGTGGGGCTTCAGCTATCCTTCAGGCCTTTAGCCATGCAGCTCCCTGGTCTCAGGGGCCCTGAACTCCTCTTCCCCTGGGTCTCAACCCTCTTTGGAGGACTCTTTTACCACCACAGCCTGCAGAGGCTCCTCCACACTCCAGGCTCCACTCTGGACCAGCGCCTGGCTGCGCACTGGCAGGGGGGCCAGTTACATGAGGATGAGGATGGTGCTCTCTGGAGTCTCGCTGTGTGGACGCCCTGCTAGAATCTGTCTCTCCTGGCCATTTTCCTTTCCTCTGTTCCCCTAGAGCCCCTTGCCCTACCTTGGAATCCCCTAGGAAGTGAGCCCAGGGACCCTTGTTTCTGCCCCCTGGTGCAGATGGGCATGGCCTGGATCAGCTGATGCCCGGATTCCCTTCCCTGTGGGGCTGCCCCTGCCAGCTGTCTTCTCCAACCTCGGTGAGCATCAGCAACAGCTCCTGCCGACAGGCTGTGTCCTGAGCCTGGGCAGGGGTCTGAGCAACCCACATGGAGACCCTGTCCTGAAGCTCCTGGGCCCTGCCTCCATCCCAGCTCTGTCCTTGAATCTGCAGGCCTGGCACCAGCGTCTCCTGTGGATACACTCGGTCCAGAATCTTGGGGTCTCCTTCCAGCCTCCAGACCACACTGGAGTGGTCTTGGCAGACCCTCAATGCCTCAGGGCATGTGTGGCCAGCCGGGTCATGGCCCCGACTCAAGGTTCGACTCTGAACAAGCTCTCCTCTGCCCTCAGGTCTCAGTCTTCCCGTCTCAACCAAGAGGGAAGTCACTGAATGATCCCCAGGCTATTTCCAAATGTTGGAAGATCCCTCTCTGGGCTGGACTAAGCCCCTGCACTGCCCTCCTTCCAAGATAATGCTCCAAGAATGAAGACCAGAGAATAAAGTGCAGGGCAAGGTCAAAGGTACAGCAGGGCCAGTGCTCAGGGCCTGCCGTGCGCCCACATGGGGGATCCCCAGGCTGGGATCCCGACCAGAGGACTGTCGGCTCATCTGGCCTACATGACACTGGGCCTTTTCACTTCTGTCTGCAGCAGCAGGATTCTGGGAGTAGAAGGGAGAGTCTGCCTGTTCCCTGCCACCCCGTCCCCACCCCACAGCCCAGCCCCTCTCACTTGTCTTCTGTGTCCCAGTATGGCCTCCTCCACTGTGCCTGTCCCTGGGTTCTTGCCTCCTCCAGGTGGGCCAGGGAGCACACCGCCTGCTGGGGGAGGCTGAGTGGGAGGACTGCCGGCAGCACAGAGCCTCTGCCAGGTATGCCTAAGCTTCCTGCCTCCCACCAGGCAGGGCAGTGTCTGCAGCCTCTGATAAGGAAGGCGGACTGGCAGCCAGGGGCCCAGCTGACAGCCCAGCATGGACCTGTGCCCTGGCTTGTGTACAAGAGACTGTGCCCTGGGGCCCTGAGGGGCTGCCTGGCTGTGATCTGTCATGACAGGCTGCAGCTGTGCACCCTCTGCCTCTAGCTGGGCCTGAGACCCCAGCTGCTGATGGCTTCAGGGTGAAGGCCAGCAGTACTGCTGTGGAATGTTAATGAGTGGGCAGACATGAGGTTGTCAACTTGGTCCCAAGGGTCCCCCAGGCCTGGGAGGGAGCAGTGGCTCCAGGAGGGCCAGCTCTGAGCTGAGACATGAAGTCACTGAAGGCTTGGGTAGCTAGGCCATCACAGGGTGTCCCTTTCCTCACCCGAGGCAGGGATGCTGGTAACCTTCCCAAGAAGCCTCAGCCTGCACAGCCATCTCCCCCTCTCTGGGGGTCACCTGCTTCACTAGGGAAGATTGGGCTTTTGAGGAAGCTCTTCAGTTTATGGAGCTAACACCAGTCCCTGCCTCCCTCAGACTCTCCCTGGGGGACCACAGGGAGCCTGGCCCTTGCTTTGCCTCCAGCAGTATTCCTAGCCACCCCCTGCAAATGCCTCTCAGGCCACACCCTGGACCTTCCAGGGGCCCCATTCAGAGGTGGCATCTCTTCAGCATGCAGCCCTGCTGGGCCTCCATTCCCTTCTCCTCCAGGTACCGCAGACCCCAGCAAGCCCCCCTGAGAAGATGGCACCAGATGTGGCACTGGTTCTGATCACTCCAGAGCTTTCAGCCTGCTAAGGGGAACTTGCTAGCTCAGGGGACCTCCTTTCAGCTGCAGAAAGCCCAGGAAGATGGGGTGAGAGAGGACAGGGCCTCACTTTCTGCTTCAGGGCCCGGCCGAGTCCCAGCTTGCGCTCCCATCTCTGCAGCACCTGGGCTTGCTCTGACAGGACCTCCAGCACTGCCCGAAGACGGCCACTCAGCTTGGCCTGCTGCCGCCTGCTCTCTGCCAGCTGCTCCCACTGGTCCTTCTCCGACCGCCTCCAATCCTGCTCAGGGGCCCTGTCGGAGCACCTGCCAGGGAGATAGGAGTCAGGTTCAGCCTGGGCCCCAGGGGGCTACTGTGCCCACCTTCCCTACACTCACCTCCACCCTTTAGTGGGGCTTGGTGGGCAGACACAGTCTCATGGCCAGAGGAAACAAGAGTGCCAGAAACTGTGGGCAGGGCTGGGCATCAAGTCCATGGCTCTGCCTTCTGCCCGAGCTGCTGTGGGAGGAGGGTCATGGGAGCGCTTTTCCCCGTGGACATGGCCTTGCTGCTGGCTGTGTGCTGCGCTCTCTGGGCAGCTCCCAACACTGCACCTCCAGACACCCCCAATGGGTGGCGTCCCCATGCCACTCCTCCAGGGCCCTGTCTGCTCCCTGAGACGGAAACAGGGGAGCGCTGCTGAGCCCCTCCTGTCTCTCTCTCCTTCCCTGCTGCACCCCGACCCCTTGTCCAGGCTGGCGGGAAGCTGGGGACCTCCCTGAGGACACAGCTGCCTCCGTGGGGACCCCAGCTTTGGGCGTTCTAGCTATGGCCCACTGAGGGGTGCCTGTGTCGATGAGCCCTCCATCCCTCCTGCCACAGCCCCTGGCCTCAGCCTGCCTGGCCACTGCCTCCCACACCCTGCCTCTGTCCAAGAGGGGCCCAGCTCCCAGGTCCTCGTGATTTTTTGGGACAGTTCAAACCCAGGCTCCTAGGAAGGGGTGCTGAGCCCCATGGAAGGACCTCAAGCAGCCTCTTCTGTGATTACTGGCTTTGACGGGGGATCCCTGCTTCTTTCTCCAAGACCGTCTGATAAAGGCACCTGCAGACCCTTTTCCTCCTCAGATCCGGATGATGGACCAGGGCAGGCCCCTTCTATATCCCCTAGATCCTCTCCTACCTATAATTCACAACTCGGGGCCCCAAGCTTGGTGGCTATACCTCCTCAAACCCTGCAAATCTCTCAGGCCCAACCCCACCACCCCCTCAGAGGGGCTGGGGCTTCAGCTTGGGGCTGCACTGCACAGGAAGCCGGGGCTTCTCTGCCCCTTCTGCTGAGGTCTTGACAACCCCTCAGTGAGGCCTGGGCTCCCAGCTGCCTTGAGTAGGTAAGAGACCTTGCAGACAGCCCCTACTCTAGGAGGCCTGGCTTCCCCAACAGACCTGGGGACCCACCTGCCTTTTCCACAAGGCTTTCTCCCTCCCTTGGGCTGGATCCGGGGTAGCCCTGTTCAGCCTTTGTTTCCACCTGCCAGGTTGCCACCTCCTGGCCCCGTGGACATACCAGGACCCCAGCTTCCAGAGGCCAGGTATTCCCCAGCCCTGCCTGCTGCCACCCTGGCACCTCTAAGCCCAGCAGGCTGCAAGGGTCCCTAGCTACCAAAGGACTGGCCCCCACCCGATCTGCCCAGTGCTTCCCCAGAGGCCAGTGGGCATCCCTGGCCCCAGCCCTTGGGAGCCCAGCCCCTTCTGAGTGTTGCCAGCTTGGAGCTTTTTTCTAGACCTGTGAATGAATGCTATTGCATCTGGAGTTAGCTGAGACCTCTCCCCTGGTCTCCTGGGCAGTTACGGCCCCAATTCTTTGGCAGCCTGGTTTCCAGCATTCCTGGAAGTGGTGGGGAGGTCTCTGCCAGCTCAACGGGTGCCACTCTACACACTAGTTTGCTTTCCTTGCAATCCCAGCAGCAAGTCTCATTCCTTGTGGCGCCCGGCCCCACTGTCTCATGTGGACCCTAAACCTCCAGTTGGCCCAACCCTGCAGAGGCACCTGCAGAGGTTCCTCTCATGCTGGTCTACCCCCAGGGCCCCCTCTGGAGCCTGGTACCACAGATCTCAGCCAGGGGCAGGCACAGCTCAGTCTCCCTTCCTCCTCATCAGAGCCTTGGCTCTGTCCACCAAGGCCCCTGACTGCCAGGGAACCCACACCCACAGTTCCCTTCTTTCTGAATGCTGACCCTTCCATAGCCTGGATGCTTGAGCCCTGGGCAGAGGGGTAACCACCCCAGGACTGTCTTCGCAAGCAGAGGCTACTTGTCACCAGGCCCTGACTCCTCAGGCTGAGCTGAGCAGCAGGCCTCTCACCAAGGCCCCCTGGGCAGAAGGGGCTCAGCCCTGAGGACCCAGCACTCCCCACACCTGCATGTCCATGTTGGGCATCCACCCTGGGGACCCAGCTTTCCCCCTGCCCCCAGCTGCTGGCAGCCCCATCTTGACTCATACAGGGTCCCTGAGGCCACACCAGGAAGCAGCCAGCAGCTGGGAGGAGCACCTGCTGTTTCTGCGTCTTTTTTCTGGAGCTCACGTGGGTGGGAGGGGCTACAGTCTCCAGGGATCCTGCAGGCCACGCCCCCCCTCCCTGGCTGACTGAGCTTTCTTCTCAGGAGTCTCACTGGAGGCTGGGATCGACCTGTCACAGAGGCAGGTCTGAGTAGTCCAAGCCCATTCCTACTCTCCAGCAGGGCCGCTCTTGTTCATTTGTGCAGCTGGCTTTGCCCAAAGCACAGGTGAAGTCTGTGTGGACTGTGTCCCCTGTCCCCAAGGGGAGTGTGGCTCTAGTCCTGGCCTGGAACTCGGATGCCTTAGAATTAGAGGCCACATCTGTCAGGGTGGAGCAGTGTGGTCTGCCCACGGCCACGGCAGGTACCACGTTGGCAGCCCCAGACCTGATACCACGGCTCCCGTGTCCCCTCTCCACTTCTCTCCAGCACATCACTTATACTACGTGCTGCCCCTGATGAATCTGGACTGTCAGCTTCCCCAGCTCAGCCAGGAAGTCCCACTGACCCTAAGGAGAACGGTGCCTCCCAAGCTGGGGGCTGTGTGGGCATGGGCCTTGTGTGGGGTGTGGGAAGTCGGGGTGAGGCAGGTGTCCAGCGCCTCTCTGTTTATCTTCCTTTCTCCTTTGCCCACAAAGGAAGCATCTTCTCCATGTCCCTCTGCCACCCCGAGGACATAAAATATTTCCCCAGGTCTGTCTTCCCTTGGACACGGCCCACCTACCTTCCTGTGGGACTCAGGGCTTTGTTTTGTCCTGTGGCCCACATGAGAAGCAATTATCCCTACTCTGCTCAGCTGAGAAAGGCAAACTGAGGCAGAGCAGGGGAACAACTGTTGTAGTCTGGATGTTAACGGCAGAGTCAAGAGCAGCCTTTCCTCGAGTGGTCGGGTCCAGTGGACACCAAGCGTGGAGGCTGTATCAGTCGGTTTTGTGTTGCTCCAGAGGAATACCCGAGACTAGGTTATTTATTTATTTATTTTAAGGGGTTGGCAGGGCCACTAGGCTGAGGGTTGGAGCCCCGTCTCCTAGTCCCAGCCTGGGTCTCCATCACTGGCTGGCCGGCTCTGCTTGCTGCATTCTCTCCACACCCACCCTGCAGTCCAGGGTTCAGTCCAGGTGCAGGCCTGGGAAAGGTTCAGGAGCAGATTCTGCCCCCCAGCTCTTACCTCCTGTGCACCAAGGCAGCCAAAATGCAGCAGCAGAACCAGGAGCACTGGCTTGTCCCTGTATCCCAGTGTTTTGGGAGGCTGGGGTGAAAAGATCGCTTGAGACCAGCCTGCGCAACATAGCAAGACCCCATCTCTACAGATAATAAAATTGGGCATGGTGGCATGCACCTGTAGTCCCAGCTACTCAGGAGGCTGAGGTGGGAGGACCGCATGAACCCAGGAGGTCAAGGCTGCAGTGAGCTATGATTGCACCACTGCACTCCAGCCTGGGCAACAGAGCAAGACCCTGTCTCTAAAACAAGAAACAAAGTGCACCGTGTGTGGAATCCAGCTTCTGGCGTGTGGACCTGACCTCACTCGGTCCCATCAGTGAGTGGGAGGCTGCCTGCTGTCTCCCAGAACATTTCCACCACTACACCTGTGTCCATCCTGTGTTCCCTGGCAGGCTTTGTGAGGGGGCCTGTCACCTACCCCTCTGGCTTCCCTAAGGCACAGCTCAAACCTTCCCTGCCACTGAGAACCTTCTCCTGAAGAGTCTTATCCTCACCCACAGGCCTCCTCATTTCAGAGCTTTTGGTGGGAGTACAAGAATTGAGACACTGCTACCAGCTGGGAGGAATTGTCCCTAGGGTTCGGTCTCTGGATGGCATGTGAGGATCTAGACCAGGACCCGGATGCCTGTAACCTGAAGGGCAAGGGTCTCGGCTGCCCGGGCTTCACACTGGGAATGCTCGTTTCCCTGGCTTACCTACTTTGAGTCCAAAGGTAATAATGCCGACATCCCCCATGAGACAGAGTGACAGACTGAGACTATCATAGGGTTGCCTGGCTCAGAGTCACCATAGCCAGGCAGAGGTCAGGTCCTGGCCCTGTTCAAGGTTTTCCCAAATCCCTTTTAGCTCTGGTACCTGGGTTCTTCCTCACCCAGCTGCAGCTCCCCTGCCCCTTCTACCAGGTGACCCATAGAAAATTTCACTTTCCTTCTGGTGAAGGGTGAGAACCAGCTTAGGGTGGGAGGGAAGAGGGGTCTGGGGGCCCTCCCAGCCCTGCCTCTGGTGTTTGAAGGATGGTGGCTGGGCAGCAGCATGGTTTAGGCTAGACAAGGCGGCCCCTAGGTTTGTAGCCTGGCCTCAGATAGCTGCTGCCATGTCACCTCCTCTGCATGTCCTGACCTGGCATCTCTCCTAGTTAAAGGTCCTCAGGCCTCCTGCCTCCGGGCATTTCCCCTACTCCCAGCCCAGGCACAGCTGTCCTTGTCCTGGACTCATCTTCAGAGATACTTGTCCAGCACACAGCTTTGCTGGATGTCGCAGGCTGGGCCGGGCCCCCTGCCCTGCACTAACCTCTTCGTGAGTCTCAACTAGACTGAGCCGCAGCTTCAGGGTCAGGACAGGCTCTGACCTAATTGATGTGACCCAGGACAAGGGGGTTACATCTGCTTGAGTTCTTGGCCTCTATGGTCTCTTTGGGGCATGATGCCCCTCTGTCCCATGCTTAGGTGCCCACATGTGGCCACAAGTGCCTTTCCTTCCACCATCCATACTTCAAGCTGGTGTCCAGGCACCTGTGGCTCCAGGCAGAAGCGTGAGTGCAGAGCCAGGCCTGGGCTGACGTTCCGCAGGTGCTGCAGGAGCTGACAGCCTTGGCCACGTTGTCCATGGCCATCCATTCCCCTACACTGTGGCGGCCCCCAGTCCACCATCCTTCCAGGGCAAGGCCTGGAACCAAACTGACTTTTTTCTGCCCCTGGTTTCCCTCTTGCCTGCCAGTTTCTTGGCTGAGCATGATGGTCTTGCCCATTTCCTTGATTATCCACGATAAGGTTTATAGAGCCATTTGGGAACATCACATCGGTCTACCACATTCTCACCAGAGATAGGACTGCCTTGGGCCTGTTGGGACCCAGATTCAGTGGCTTCAATCTAGGCAATGGGCTAATAGGCAGCTGTCACTTCTCTGCTTGGGGAAGGCAGGAGAGGAAGGTCAGGCAGGAGATCTGCTTGGCGCCCACCTGTGCCTGTCTCACCTGGCTGCAGGTGCATTGGAGGCTGAACCCCTTTCTTGATCTGCAGGTGTGGATTTCAGGTTTCCAATGGTTGTCAGGGTGTGCTCCAGTGCTCTCCTGGCCCTAGGGAACCCTGGGCTCCATGAGGCCTTGGCCTAGGCAGGATTGTTTCCCACACTGTCATCTCCCTCTTCAAACATAGGGCTGCATGCTTTGGTACACGTAAAGGTTGAAAAGCAAAAGCCAGCTCCTTCTCTCTCCCAGAGTGGGTGGCCCCTCCCCTCTCTCAGAGTGGGCGGGGACAGGAGTTGCAGGGGCAGCTTTCCTTGGGATGCCACAGGTCTCTCTGGAGCTGTCTGGCCATGCCTCCTTTCCCTTTTATCTTACTGACCAATGGGCTTGGAGCATGAAGGCCACGCCCCTATTCTACATTCTAGTGTGGCCCTGGTTACGCCTCCTCTGGCCCAGACACACAGCTGCCTGGTAGGGGAGTGTAGCTGCTTACCAGTGCTCCCTTGAATTGTGCTGATGTGGCCCCAGCCCCACCTCCCTCCCCAACCCCACCTCCCTCCCCCACCCACCATGGCGATGTCAGAAGAAATTCGCAAGATGATAGCCTCGGCTAGGAAAAAGGTAACATGCACACAGATCTCCTCCGATGGCAATACCGCTGCCAGAGTCCATAACACTTCTGAGACACACCAAACTGGGTGGGCCCGCAACCCCGGTGCCTCTGGGCTCCCCCTACCAACATCTTTTCAGTGAATCCCATCCCTTCAGCAAGGAGCCCAGCCCCTGCCCTTGCCAATCACCCCAGGGTGACTTTGGATGTGTAACTCCTGAGGCTCCCCGCTCCCTGCTTGGGCCTCACCTTTTCTATTCCATGTCCGACCTCCCTGGGCTCTGTGAGCTCACGTCTCTAAGGACCTGGGTCTCCCAGCCCCCACCCTCACCAGTCACCTAGGAGCGAGAGGTTTCAGGCTGCCCACTCCTTTAACATAGACCTTGACAGTGTGAAGAGCCTACACTTCCCTCGTGAGCTCAAAACATTGACAGTGTCTCTGGGTGGCAATGGGAGAATGGGTTTGGTTTGGTTTTCTCTCAGGCTTCTACTCTCCAGAGAGACTTTCATGTTACTTTCTGAGTTCTCCAGCTCATCTTCAAATTCGTCATGCTTCTGGGACCAGACTGCCCTTCAGTCAGTGGCCTCTGGAGTGAGATCTGCTCATCTTCTGTGGAACAGATCTTGGGAAATTGAAACTGACAGCTTGAATCTTCCTCATATCGTCTCAACCTGGGCTACTTTGAATGCCACGGGATAAACATGGGACATCTTTCTGAAGCATCAGTTTCCCTTGAGTCTCTAGAGAGAGCAAAAGCATTAATGTACTTAGGGATGACAGTCACATAGGTTTCTAAGAGTATACCAGACCTCTCTCAATAAGACTTGGGTTGTCCTCCTTCTGATGAATTCCCAGATTTAACAAAAAGGCTGCCTTCTGCCATGAGGACACATTGATATAAAAGTGTGAGAGGTGCTGGTGCTCTTCTTAACACTAACAGACGTGTGAGGCTTTATGACGCTAAACCACACAGCATACGGTTCCTGCCTACTTCACGTTGATTTTTCTACCTCTGCCTGTGGTTTTGGTCTCTGGCAGTTGCTGATTCGTGGCAAAACCCCGGAGCTTGGAGTCAGAGGAATGAGTTTAAGTTCTAGTATTACTTTCTCTTTCTCTTTTTTTCTTTCTTTCTTTTTTTTTTTTCATGACATCAATCCCTCTCAGTCACTAAGTGATTGTGACAACACCTTATAGAGTTGTTGGTGGCATTAAATCAGATGGTGTATAACAGTATTTTGTAAAAACTGTAAAGTAGGTTGTGACTGTAGGGGTTTGTAGTTCTCATGGGCATTACTGCTCTTTTTCCCACAGTTAAAAGAATTTCAACAAAGAAACAGCCCTGCTGCTCCATCTCGAGTGAGAAAAAGAAAGAAAAGAAACAACAGTAGCCATGAGACATCCGCTTCTGATGGTTGCCAGTCACCATGCCATGTGAGTCTTGGCTGGCCAGGCTTCTGGGGAAAAGGGGCCCAAGGGGCAGTAGAGGGTAATTGTTAAGGTTGTGGAAGAATTTCTGGGTACTGGTTAGGAATTCTGGGTTTGAATCCCGCCTCTCCATCTGTGAGGGATATGATTTAGGGCAAGTTCCTTGAGCTTTTTGGGCCTCTCCTTTCACATCTGTGAAATAGAGGTGATATTGTCTGACTTCCATTTGTGAGGGTGAAATGAGATTCGTTATTGCTGTTGTTTTGTTAATCCCTAGTACATGGCCTGCTGTAAACACCCAGGACACCCAGGAAATGGTCCTTGCTGTTTGGTTTTCCTCACCCCCAGTCTCAAGGGGAAGCCAGCCCAATGAGAACAGCCATTTGCTGTCAGGCTGTCCCTTTAAGAGTCACTGAAAGGGCCCCAGCGGGGGATGGTGGGAGATCAGAACCATGAGAGGAGCTGGCACAAAGGAGTTATGGGACAAAGGGTCTGAGGGAGGCAGAACAGAAAATGCTGCCAGCTGATGGGAAGAAAGGAAGTCAGAGGCTTGGACACTGAGGGGGGACAGAACATCTCCATGTGCACTCTCATCTCTTGTAGTCAGCAGCAGGTGGTCACAAGGAGGGCCCTGCACCGTGTGCCACCATGAAAGGTCCAGAGGTAAGAGGCCCTGAGCTGAGGTACAGTGACCCTGCAGGCCAGCCCTCCACCCTTCTCCCACAGTGGCAGCTGGGTGCCCCTCTGCCAGCCGAGACAGCCCCACACACCCCAACCCTAATGATTGTTCTCTCTACCTCTCCCCCCAATCCTCCTCCAACTCCTCTCCGCATGCGCCTCAGAGCGCACACCAACTACAAATAGCCCTGGACTCGAGCTCAGTCACAACTAGTGAACTGAATAACACCATCGACTTATTGGTAAGAGTCCAGTGGGGTCCCCTGATTCCACGCGGCCAATCCTGGGCTCCAGTTTCCCCTTGGGGCTGCTGTGGGTGAATTGAAGGGCGCTATGGGGAGCCAGCACTGGACGCAGAGTTTGGAGGCCAAATGCCCACCCTGCCCTTACCTGGCTGTGGCCTTGGCCAAGTCCTAGGTGGGGGACTGGGCACTTGGCCCTTGGACTGTGAAGGTACAGAAGAGTAGCTTTAGTATGTTACCATTTGTGTAGAGAGAGGAAACGTGTGTGTGTGTGTGTGTGTGTGTGTGCACATACTATGATAATATACATAAAACATGTCTGCAAGGATTTGTAAAAAACTCAGGTGAGAGCACAGGTGGCTGGGAGATACTTCCCTTCTGTACCTTCTAAGTTTTGGACTATGTGAATGTATCCTCCTTTCAAAATATGAGCAAAAGATTCATTTCCCCCTTCCCGTCTGTGCCTCCACACCCAGCAGAAAAAAAAATGGACTTAGAGAATCAGATGGACCTGGGTGTTCAAATCCCAGCTCTGTCTAAGTGATCTTAGTCAACCACCTAACCTCTAATACTCCATGTTTTCCATCTCCACAATAGAGGTAATGGTAGTAACCGCCCCTCATGGTGGTTGTGAGGTTAACTGGGACTGTTCGCACGCTACCTGGTGACGCACTCAGTAAAGGTTCCAACAGCGGTAGTAACGACAGGAATAAAAATAGGATATGATGTGACCTCTCTGGGCCTCTGTTAGCCAGCTGTAATTGTGGCCTCTTTCCCTGTGCCTTCCAACTTTACTGAGGTCTTTTAAAATCCAGACCACGGGATTGGACGTGACTTGATCTTTACTGACCGAGTTGTGTATTAAGCCCAGCCCTAGCCCTTTTAAGGGGCACTGTGTGGAATGGCCCAGGCTCTCCAGATTGAAGCTTCTCGCTCTTCCCCGTCCAGCCCTCGAGCCGCCGTGAAGCAGTCCTTGAGCAGCAGGTACAGCAGTTTCTACAGGAGCGGGAACTGCTAAAAGCGCAGGTGGCAGAGGTGAGACTATGCAGAGGGAGGGATGTGGAAGGAAGATGACCCCAGGTGGCCAGGAGCAGGTGAGGACAGTGACAGCCCTTCCTAACTTCTGGGTCCATTTCTGCAGGTGACGGAGTGTCTTAAGAAAGCTCAGCTAGAAAGAGACGCTTACGCTCAACAACTCAAAACAGAGAAGGCGCAGTGGCAGCAGAAAATCCTCACAATGGCAGGAGAAGTGAGAGCTGACCCTTCAGCCCCCACCTTAGATAGGTCACTGGATCTTTCTGGGCATCTGTAAAATGAGACTAGTCCAGCCAGGGGTGGTCACAGGACTGGGCTGTGTGGAGCTGGGGGCGGAGAGGGAGATGGTAGCCTGTCCAGCCACCAGCCCTTCTCCAGGGCCCTTTCCCGCTGTTCTTTGGGCAGATTGAAATATTCAAAATGGAGAAAAGTCAAGATGCAATGAAAATCGAGAAGCTGAAGGGGAGCCTTGCCCACCTACAAAACCTTCTGGGTAAGATGGGGCTGGCGTGACCCGGGAGCAGGACTGGCATCAGAGGGCTGTGGGGGTGGCTTAGAGTGCCCCAGGGAGGTGGGTGGCTGGAAGGGCTTTGAGGCAGAGGGAGAGAGGTCTGTGCTGGGAGATGGCATGTCTTGTCATCTCCATGGGCCTCAGTGTCCCCATCAGAAAGAGGGAGGGTGCCCGTCATCAGCCACCCACAGTGCTCTCTATCTGAAAGTGGCTTGGAAGACTGGCTACCATTTGGGTGTGAGGAATCATTAGCAGTGAGGCCAGGTTTGGGGAGCTTGAGAGGAGCTGTGCACCCAGAAGAGTTTTTTCTTTTTTAGAATCCAGAGGCCCTTATTGTCTGCTTCCTTTCTCAGCTGAACCCCCGATCCCGAAGCACCGACAGGGCCCTCTGACTTGGAAAGAAAACCTAAAAACTGAAACCAAGTACCTGAGAGATGAGCCACGGGAACAGGAGAGACTGCAGGAGGCAAAAATGAGGCTCTCGGAGATGGAGGTGAGGCTGAGAGAACAGGAGAGGCTTCTTGAGCAGGAGGGGCTCCAGGAGCAAGAGGAGGAGCTGGTGTGTTGCCCACCTGGGGAGCCTGCCCTCCTCCCCAGCCCTCCAGTCCTTTGTTTTCCCACCTGTAAAATGTGAGAGTGTAGCCCTCCCATGAAATGGGCTTTCTAAAGGCACCTGGGAGCCAGAACCCTGCTCTGATGGCTGTGGGAGAAAGGAGACAATTTTTCTAACCTGCCTCCACCCTTCTGGTGCCCTGGGAGGCAGACACCAGTCTGGACATCATCATTCCAGCTCGAGGCATGGAGCCCCCTAGTCATAGGACAAGAGACAGTGGTGTGAGAGACTCTTTATGCTGGGTGCGGTGGCTCACACCTGTAGTCCCATCACTTTGGGAGGCTGAGGCAGGGTTTGAGATCAGCCTGGCCAACATGGCGAAACCTCATCTCTACTAAAATTACAACAACCACAAAAACAGCAAAGCTGGATGTGATGGTGCACACCAGTAATCCCAGCTACTCAGGGGGCTGAGGCATGAACATCGCTTGAGCCCGGGAGGTGGAGGTTGCGGTGAACTGAGTTTGCACCACGACTCTCCAGCCTGGGCCACAGAGTGACACTCTGTCACAAAACAAAACTAAAGTCTCCTTAGATCCAAACTGGATTCCGACCTTGATTCCACTGGTCACCATTCAACTGCTTTGCATCTCTAAGTCTCTGTTTCTTTACCTTCCAAAGGAAGTTAGCATTTTCCTTGCATGGGTGCTGAGGAATAAATGAGATGATTCGTAGAAAGCGTTAGGCATGTAGCACACTTGGCAGATGGTGATTGGCTCCCTCTGCTTTTCCAGCAGTCTGTGGCCTACAGTTTAAATGGTGGAAAGAAGGATGTGAGATTTGAGGCTGTGGAAGGAGACACGGGGTTCTAGGCAAGGGAGGCAGTCTCTTAGGCTGGAGCCAGGGGCCAGGCGCCTGGGCAGGCCACCTTCCTCTGTGGTCCCTCCCAGACCCCCTTATGCTCTTGGTTTCCCTGCCTTCTGATTCTTCTGGACCCTCATCCCTTCCGGGAGCCGGTGGTCAGACACCTTCGTGACTGACAGATGCACCCTCTGAGGCCCCAAGGGAAGGGGCTGTGCTCCACCTCCCTGCCCCGTCTGTCCTGTGTATGCCTCTACAAGAACCCTCACCTCTTGCCTTCAGGTGCCATTTCTGAACGCTGCTAAAGCCAGTGCCCAGGAGGAGCAGGCACGGCTCTGTGAGCAGCTCCAGAAACAACAGGTGTGCTGCCAGCACCAGGCTCAGCTGGGGGCCTCGGCCCTGAAGGAGCCAGAGGCAGCGGCCGCAGCCACAGGGACTGGGAGCGAGTCTGGGTGTGGGGAGACCCAGCGGGCCCTGCAGGGAGCCCTCGACAAGCTGCAGGTGAGTGAGCCCTGGCAGGGGCCAAGAAGGGTGGGGAAGGGGGCAGGTCGCTCCCGAGATGTGACCCCATTATTTCGGCTCCAGAGAGACTTCATGGATATTGTGAAGGAGAATTCGGACCTGAAGGAGCAGGTGGAAAAACTAGAGCTCGGATTCATTCAGCTCTCTGGAGAGAGAGACATGTTAAGTGAGCAGGAGGCCAGGCAGGGCAGGGGGAGCTGCAGGGTGGTGGGAGGGGCCCCAGTGTCTGAGCCTGTCCTCCCACAGGAAAGTCCATCAAACCAAATGACCGTCAGAGGGCAGTGGCCAAGACCCAGCACCAGAAGAACGATGTTAGCATGCTGTCCCAGGCCGAGGAGGGGATGAAGGTAAGGTGTACAACATCTGTGCAGGGGTGAGGGGGATGGGGATAGGCATGAGCATGGGTGCCGGCACCGGCATGGCAGCTGAGCACCCGTATCTCCAGGTGAAGCTGCTGGAGCTGCAGGGGCCAGTGATGCAGCTTATGATCAACCATGAGGTCCAGCACCCTGCTAATGAGCCCACTCCAGGGGCCCCAGTGCCCCAGGAGCCTGGTGCTGCTGACAAGGACGGTGAGTAGAGCCCTCAGGCGGGGTGGGCAGGCAGGAGCAGGGGAGGCTGGCACTGCACTCATATCCCTGCCTCCCTCTCTCCAAAGAACTTTGTGAAGTGATCCTCGCTGACAGCCTGCAGCCTGCAGGAGGGGGGATACACCACAACCCCACTGCACAGCAGATGGCACATGGCTTTGAGAGCTGCAAGACGGCCAGCAACACCGACCTTTGGGCAGCAGTCCCTCCACGCCATGCTTTTACCGGGCTGTGGGCGAAGGAGCGGGTAAACATCACGATCAGCTAAGAGCTGGCCCAGAAGTTTACAAACGAACAAAGTTGTAGGGTTAGTCTTCTACACATTTACTTCATTTGAATGTTAGAGTTACTCATGATGATTTGTGTTTCTAATCTATAGTTTATTTGTAAAAAGTTAAAGGAGAGTGGGTCTTCCTGTAGCTTTCACTGATGTTCACTTTGGCATTTTTTAGAATTTTTCATTTTTAATTTGATAATCATAGGTCATTAGCATGCCTATCGAGTTTGCCCTTACGTGGTGGGAGTTCAAACACACAAAGACCCACTATTGGCACAAAACTATTCTCGCTAGTTTGGAATAGGCTGCCATGGTTATTTAATGTTATTGAAGCATGTGTATTCATTATGGAATTCAGATACAATTTGCTTATGTTCTGCTATGATATTTGATCAAATCCTATTTACAGTGAGCTCTTAATTAGCTCAATATGTGCTTTGCCCTCACGTGCACACTGTTTATTACTTTGTAAGGTGCTGCTGTGAGTACTGACATTTAGAGTTGTTGAAAGGCCGAGAACTGGAAACAGCCTTTCTTCCATGTTCTGTGTATTGCAAATGGGAGTAATAACATTTTGGGGAGCTTTTAAAATCTCACAGAAGAGGAAAGCGGCCTGCTCTGGCTGGTATGTGCAGAATAGAGTAGTTCATTGGTTCCCGTGCCAAGAATGAGCGCTGCGCTATGATAGTTCTTTTAGGGTTTTTCTGTGCTCTGGGCTCATGAAGACACTGCATCATGAGCTGCAGCAGCTGTACTCTTTTTTATGACCTAAAAAGAGATGATTTCTGAGGAATAAAAGGCTCCCGTCTTTGATGGTGGATGTGGAAAACCTTTCCTAGCTTAGAGCATTTACATCTATAATACATTGTAAAGTCAGAGCTCATGTTACCTGTTTTAATCACCTGACTCTAAGTCTCAGTACACAAAAGGGCACTGGTTGGCATTCTTCTTAATGTATTTAGTAAAGGTCATAAGAAATCCTTTAAGATAAAGTGTAATTTATATATATATATATACACACATATATATTATATATAGGAATGGAAATTTGTATCTTAGAATGGATAGGCACTAAATATTGATGACTGAACAGTTAATGTTTCAGGACACTTGGTATAGTGAGTGCCTTGCACACAGAAAAAGACCACGGATGAGATTATCCTTTGTATCATTTCACAGTTTTAAAAATTGCTATTGATTACAGTTCACATAGCAAGTTGCTGATAAAATGTCTGTTTTCATAAAACATCTCCAACAACAACAAAATCCTTTCAGAGTTTAAATGTCCAGAAAAAAATAAAAATTTTAATAAAAAGTTTAAAAAAATTTTAATGTCCCTGGAACAGGCACACAGGGTGTAGTCAAGAATGAACTAGAGTGCAGGAAAGCCATGTGACACCTGGCGTCCCTCTGTGTTCACGGAGCTTCTTTGAGGCGAGATTGACTTGACCGTCCAGACTTCTCTGGCTAATACCTATTCTTCAACCACCTCGGTTACTCTGACATAGGAATTGCCTTGTTTTTCTTCAACGAAAAGGACTTTAAACAATAATCACAAACATTATTATAAACTAATATATGTGAGAGTACTTGGCTGAAAAATAAGAGTTTCAGTAGAAAGAATTGTACTTTATTTGACAATCAAGAGAAATTAATGCAACGTAAAATGTTTATAGCCTGCAGTGCCATCTACTGTTTGTGAATGTCAGTGTATTATCAGGAAAAGTGTCTAACAATCACAGAGTTCTATTTCCTCAGCAAGTTCTTTACCAAGAGAGAAATATGTTTTTATACCTTTCAGTCTCAATTAGAGGCATATTTTGTGCAAGTATGTTAATGTGTCTCTACATTATGAATGAATTCTTTCAGTCAGACATTGCCTAAATTATAACTTTATGATGCTTGGGACAGAATCAACAGTTGAAGCTTCATGAAGTTCTAATGTCCGTGTACCAAAATACGTCCCATTGTTAGGATGGAGGGAGGTATGCGTGTGTGCTCCCTGAAGGGGAGACTCCTAGTTACTGACCATCTCCATGTTTAGCATTTGGCATCCTCATGATACTTTCATAAATATGACATTAATAGGAGAGCACTCATACAATTTGACAGATGGAATAACACATTTGCCTGCATTCCCTGAAAGAGTGCAAATATTGGGTCCTGGTGATTTGAACTGACTCTTCCAAATTGTAGGGATTTATCAATGTATCAGATAAACCCAGTTTCAGAACGATCAAGGAGAAACGTTAGACCAAATAATGCGGCTAATTAACAGTGGTATGATTTCTAGCCGGGGGCTTAAAATGGACTTAAAGTTCTGTTTTGTGTTTTATTTCTGAACTTGCCGCTTTTGCATTCTTTGAGTTCAGTTTAAAGACAGTTACTCTAAGTCCATTTTCAGCCCTAAGGCTAGAAATCGTACCCCTGTTAATCAGCCACATTATTTGGTCTAACAGTTTTTCTTAATCATTCTGAAACTGGGTTTATCTAATACATTGATAAATTATTTCAAAGGGATTTTGATAGTTCAAATCACTTTACTTTTACCCTAAGAAATACAAATGACTAGGAATGACCTTCAGATAGTGTTTAGCATCTGTACCCAATCTGATGATAATGTTCATCAGGTACCTGTGGAGTAAATCCCATACAGGCATGTTTAAGCTGAATGGCAGTCAGGAAAATACATTTACTATATTAACCGAAATATCACTCTGAGTAGGTATTTTGTCATCTACTTAAGACAAATCTAAAAGAACGGAAATCACATGACAGTGTCTTAAGTCTTTCTTCAAAGTGCACGTGAGTCTCCTGCAGTACTTCATTCAGCCAAGTGTCTGTTCTCTTCCTCATTCAGTAGAAGGCAGCTTTCAATTGGCTTAGAAGGCAACATCAGAAGGTTAGCGTTCATCAAAAACACAGAATTTTAAAATGTGTGTTCAACTGACCAAATTTGAATTTCTGTAGGAAGAATCAAAATACCTGTTTAAAGATTGCAAAATATGTTACTCATTTTTAAAGGATTTTATTAAACCTGATAGGTTTTCCAGAAATGAATAAAACTCAGTTCTAAAACCAAAGCTGCTTTTTAGAAAATTTGAAACTGTAAATCAGTCCTATCCTGTTCACAATATAGTTTCTCTAAAACTTTATCTTAAAGAGTATTTTAAAATAACTATTAAAAAAAACTGCTCTCTTAATGTTCTGAAATTACTTAAAACATTTAAAAATATGAATATTGCAGTTTAGAAGAAATGGGGGAAGGAAAAGTGAAGAAATGCCAATTCCAGTCCAAAGCTTTATTTGCCAAGTTTTCTAAGAATGACTTTTACCACTGTCTGAACTCCTGTGAACAGAATGTAAGATGGAAATCCTGAGCCTTTTGTCTAAAGCGGCAATACTGACTGCTGCTGTGATGCTCCTGTGATGTAATAAATTATTCAGTTGCTGCAAAGCGCTGTTTTTGCCTTAAAATTTTGTGCGTCTTGACAGCTATAGTATTAAAGGTATTGAGACTGTAAATGCTGGGCACACTTGGCATGAGATAATCTGTTTTTGTTTTTACAAAATTGTAATATAACTATGCAAGTGTGTTTATTAAAAGAACACAAGCTACTAAACATTATGGGATTAAAAGTTACGGGATAAAAAAATCATCATATAAAAAATGTGGAAAAGTTGTGGCAAAAAAATTTGTGGATAAAAAGTAGAAAAATTTTAGGAAAAGTATAAAATTTATGAAAAGGAAGTTATGAGATTTTAAAAATCATCATGGGGATAGAAATAAAAATAAATAAAAGCAGGCCCCTGTCAGCAAGGCCTGGAGAACAGTGGCTGAAGTCTCTGACCCCACCATGTCCCTCCAACCCCTTCCCAGTCACCCCTTTATTATTAGTGTAGCAAGACAAGACCCCTGTCTAATGGGGGGAGACAAACAGACCCTTTGCCACCTTGACCAGGGCTGAGTCCTTAAATCTCTGGATGATAAAGGTTGTTGGTTGGTTTGGAGGAGGCCTGATGGCCTCCTTCCTCTCACCAAAGGAACTTTTCCCTCAGGGGGCTCCCATCTTATTCAGAGAGGCAACAGAGGCAGGACAGTGGCACTAACTGTGGACCAGGCAAGGACACGGGCTGCTGGGGAATTCCCCCTTCTTCAGTGTACATATTGCATCTGTGTAAGATGTTGTATATTTTAGGGGTTTGTGGTGTCCCTTGTATCATACCTGGCAGAGGTTGGAGCTGGCACATGGAGGAGGATTTAATAATTATTTGCAGCTGGGAAACTTATTTATTGATAGCAGAGGACAGAGGAAGGAGGTGGGGATGGGGCTGTGGCTCCCTGGTGATGCAACTCCTGTTTATTTTGCTTTTTATTTTGGAATAAATGGATGTAGTCACACTGCTCGGCCTGGTGTATTTCCATTTCCCTCACTGGGTCCTGGAGTTGGTGCCACTGAACAAGGAACCCCAGAGTGTCTGAGCATGTCCAGCTGGCCTGTTGGGAACCTTCCAGGCTTGTTACCTGTGTGCTGCCCGGTGACACCTGGGAGATTTCCTGGGGACTGCCATGGCACGTCCGGCCCTGACAGCCAGCAGGCTCCGAAGCCTGATCTAGTGGTGGCCAGGAAGGCAGGTACCAGCACCCAAGGGCACTGACTTGCATCCACCTCACGTGTCTTTCTTCCATTTCCGGCCTCCCTGTCCTCTCCGTGCCTGGTGGCCTGTTCTGTCTGTCCCTCCAGAGTGCCAGCTGCCGGGCAGGCTCCCTCCAGGCTGAGTTCATGGCTCTGTCCCCTAGTGGCCAGAGCCGGCTTCACAGGATAAGACCAGTTAAGCCCCAGGGGCTTGCCCCTTGGAAAGGTGGGGCCTTTTCATGGCTCCCAACAGCACCCCAGAAATGGCTTGGCCTTTCCCCTCCCATGAGCTCCACGGAGGACATATTCCCCATCATCCAGAAATGGGTTTGACTCTCCGCGGAGGGACAGCAGGACTGGTAGAGACTGTCAGGCCACAGAGCTGCCTGCACAGCACCTCCATGCTTAGCAGAGGTGGGAGGGATGGCGGGGCCTGGGTGACAGGGAGGCTCACTGGAGGTGGTGCACTTTGGAGGGGCAATGTCAGGGGACAGCTTTCTCTTGTTGGGCCACAAGACTCCACAAGGACAGCCCGGTGACTGACTCCCAGTGCCAGAGGCGAGGCAGTCAGCGATATGTAGGTGTGTATATATGTGAGTGTTTATAGACACTTCTAGAACAGGGCAGGGGCGTGCCACAGAGGGGGATGGTCACACCTGGATATGTCACCTCACTGCTACAAGAGACTAAGTCACAGATGAAGGGGGCTGGCTTTGGGGCTGGGGGAGTCACAGAACAGCCGCCCAGGCAGGCTTGGAAAGGGAGGTCTCCGACAGGAGGGGGGATCTGTGTAGAGGTCGAAGGGAGACCTGGGGCTCTCAGGATGGGATGGACTTCCGTGTCCCAATCGGCTGGCAGTTGCAGAGAAAACAGAAGGGAAACAGGAGAGAGAAAAGCGAGGAGAGAGCTGGTGAGGTAAGCGCAGAGCAGGGGTGCTGCAGCAGCTGGGGGAGGGCTGGGCAGGGGAGGGCGCAGGTGCAGGTGTGGCAAGGTTCCTGGAAAAGGGGCTGGAAGAAAAAGGGAAGGAGGAAGGAGCCGGAGCTTCACAGGTAGTGCCCAGGGGCTGCGGCGGCCCTCCCCATCCAAACACGCTGGCCTCTCCCACGGCACCCAGGCAGAGCACCCACAGTTTAGACCCATGTTCACCACCCTCGGGCTGCCCTCTTTCCTGGTCACCCTGTCTTCCAACCCACTGGCCCAGGGCCACCCCTCACCTTGGGGAGCCCCACACAACAGCCACCAGACCTGATTGAGAAGGAACATTGCCTGAAACAGGAGGGTGAAGCTGAAAGGCCTGGATGGCTGGAGGGAGCACCCGAGGGCCTTCTGGGGGATCAGAAAGCCCAGGACCCTCTGAAGGGACGGACCCTGGGGAGACAGGGAGGGCAGGCAGCCGGATGCCACTAGTCATAGACTTATAAGTGTAAGTGGGGAGCCTCAGCTGTTTGGGGGGCTGCAGGTCTCATAGGTGAGGCTGGGCTCTTCCTTTGGGGAAAAGCAGACGAGAGAGAGCCTGTGGCAGTGGGTGGGGATGTGGGGGGATAGGTAGATTGGGGGTAGCCGGACTTACTGGGAAGAGCTCAGCCAAGCCAGCAGGCACTGTGGTCCCTTGGCTGAATAGCATAGGCGGTGAGCCCGTTCGCTGGTGGTAGTGCTTTAGTGGGGGCACACTAGCAGCTTCAATCACACACTAGCAGCTATGATGGTACCTGGGAGGGAGGGGAGGGGGCTGTGTGTCCTGCCTGGCCTGTGAGTTGTGTGGTGGGATGACCATGTGTATGGGACTCTCAAGCTTTTATCCTAGATCACCACTGGATTGCCGACAGATAGAGGAGGTGAGACTCTGTCACTCCTGCTCTGCAGTGGATTTGGCTCTCGGCACTCCCAGGCTGGGAGCTGGATGCCCTGGCTGGCAGCATGACTCACACTGCAGGACAGGTACAGCGGGCCCAGGACGACGTTCCTAGGCCTCTGGCTGCCTCAGAGTCCAGCCTCGCACACACACACAAACCCCTTCAAGCTCCCAGACCCTACCCATACACCATGAGATCTCTGCCCTCTCTGATAGCTCCAGAGAGCACCCACGTCTGCCACCTTGGGCATGGAGCCTGTTCCAAGAACCCCCACCCAGGCTCAGCCATGAAGGCTGGGGGCTTTAAGGCCATGGGGGCCGGCCTGGTACCTGCCTCCAGCTGGGACGTTCTGCAGCTGCAGCCAGGAGTCTTCCATGGGCCCCCATGGGTGTGTTGACAGTGGTGGTGTTGATGTCACCGATGAGGCTCCCTCAGCACGTGGTGCATGCACAGCATCTCAACTCGCCACTGTGCCTGCTCTGCAGGCTCCTCTATCAGCTTTTCTGGCCCTCTTGCAAGTACAGGTTGGCCAGTAGCTCTAAGAAGATGAACTCCTTGGTCTGAGAGTGGGTAAAGAGGGACCGAAGTTTGGACCTGATGCCTGGCTGCCCCCTGGGACCTGCTGGGACTGTGTGCTGGACTTTGAGCTCCAGGTATGGCTTTCAGACGTGGCTTCTCCACCGCTTGGAGTTGAAGATCTGCCTCGCACTGCCTTTTCTCACTCAGAGGGGGACAGTGAGGGCCAGAGGAGAAGTCACCTGTCCAAGGTTATAGATCTGGCAGGGGACCTAGGACCTATCATGCCACCAGGACACCTGGCTCTTCAGTGTTCTAAAGTTTTTTGTGGAGATAGGATCTGGCTCTGTTTCCAGACTGGAGTACAGTGGGTGAGATCACTGCTCATTGCAGCCTCAGCCTCCTGGGCTCAAAGTGATCCTCCAAAGTCAACCTGTTGAGTAGCTAGGACTACAGCAATGTGCCACCACCAAGCCCAGCTGTTTTTAACATTTTTGTGTAGATACCAAATCTCACTATGTTGCCCAAGCTAGTCGCAAACTCCTGGGCTCAAGCGATCCTCCTGCCTTGGCCTCCCATAGCGCTGGGATTACAGGCATGGGCCACTGTGCACAGTCCCATGCTACATTTCTATAGGACAGCTCTGGTCTAGACCATGCCTCCCTCCCTGGACCTGGTCCCATAGGGCTGGTTGCCATCTCCCGCAGGCCAACATGGCCACCTGGGTCTCCAGTCCCACAGGAGCCCCCTGCCCCCATGAGGCGGTGCATGCACGTTTTGATCTCGAGGTGCACGGTGGTCTTGGGAATGAGACCAACCATGAGGTCCCACACCGTCTTGCTGACAATGGCCATATAGGAGTCCACCGGGTTCTGGGTGGTCTCCATTTACTGCTCCAGTTGTGGGTCCATGGAGCACACGAAGCTGTTGGAGCCTTCTCCTCGGCCTTGCTGGCCTGTCATGGAGAACACAAGGGCATCAGGGTGGCCAGGCCATGCAGCCAGGCTCCAGGAGTCCCCAGGATCTCAGCCCCTGCAAGGGTACCTGGAACACTGAGACACAGAGAGAAGCAACTGGCCTGAACACACACCCAGCTCCCCACACGCTCCAGAGGGATCCAGGTCTCTCCTCTCAGGACCCCAGACTCCCCTGATTCAGCCTCGCCTAATTCTGACTCTAATGCCCAGAATTTGCCTCAATTTCTCAACCCAGAAATTGGAAAAGAACATCTCCAGGTCCCTTGCTTGAAGACCTGGCTGGGGCTGCTGCCAGGCTGCAGATACCTGGCAGGAGGCAAGAGAAGGGCACAGTCGCTTTACCCTTGTCCTGGGAGGCCCACACACCAATATTGCCACTGCCACTGCCACCAGGGGGCACAGCCGATGCAGACAGGCACAGAGAGGAAACGGGGAAGGGTGGAGTGAAGCTGGGACAGTGCACCCCAACTTGA